TATATACATTTTGAGAGACACCCTATATATACTGTCTTTTCCTATACATAGATACCTATGATAAAGTTTAATTTTTAAAATAGGCACAGTAAGAGAATAACAATAATCCTATATAATAAAAGGCTTATATGCAAATCAACCAAATGGCGGAATGACCAATTACTATGACACACACTGACCACCAGGGGGCAGATGCTCCCACAGGGGGAGTGCTGCTCAGCCAGAAGCTGGCTCTCGGCTGGTGAACACAGTGGCAGTGGTGGGAGCCTCTTCTGCCTCCAGGGCAGTGCTGAGGATGTCTTAGGCCTAAGCCATCAGTCAGACAACCCCCAAGGGCTCCTGGACTGTGCGAGGGCGCAGGCCAGGCTGAAAGGCCCCTCACCCCCCAAATGCATGAATTTCATGCACCAGGCCTCTAGTAACGAATAATAAAATAGAACAATTATACTACTATACTGTAATAAAAGTTATGTGAATGGCTTTGGGGCCATTATCAGGTAAAATCAGTGCAATACCAAGCCATTCCATCTGATAACCAAGGCAGCTACAAAGTGACTAACAGTCGTGGATATGCCGGACAAAGAGATGATTCACGTCCCAGGCAGGACGGAGCCTGACAGCGTGAGATTTTATCGTGCTACTAAGAACAGCACGCTATTTAAAACTTACGAATTGTTTATTTTTGGAATTTTCTACTTCATATATTTGGACTGTGGGTAATTAAACCTCGGGAAGCAAGGGGTGATTACTGTAGCTCAGTTGATTCTTGTGAGGAACTGTTAAGAACCAAAAGAAAACTCTTTGTGAAGAGCACAGCATGATTCAAATATATGGCTATTTTTATCTTGTCATCCTTTAGACAGGTACCGTCTAGTAGGAATATAATGTAATCTACATAGATAATTTTACAATTTCTAGTAGGCATATAAAAAGCTAACAAAAAAAAAACACACAAAAAAGCTTTAAAGACATTTGCAATGTATTGGGCATTGCCGGCATCCTCTCCTCAGAGCCTATGAAAGCACTTCAGCTCACAAGTACGAAGGCAGGAAACTATTTCAGCAACTGGCAACCATGATAATATGTCTGACTGGACATCCCTCATTTCCCTTGACAAAGCCCAAAACCCTGGGCCCACCCTACACCAGCAAATAACCCCCTTCCTCTTCAGCCACCAACCCTGTTTCAGGACTCTCAGATATTAGCTTGCATTTGTTGAACCCTGTACTAAACACTTTACATTCACTGACTCCTGTAAGTCTCACAATAATCCTGTCAGCTAGTTACTGTGTCTATATTTTACAGATAAATAAACTGATGCTTAGGTTAAGAGAGGAGTTTGCGAAATTTCAAATTTAGGTCTGTCATACCTCAAAATTCCCCAGGGGCCTAATTCCTAGTCATTTGGCAGAATTTCTAATTCTGCATGCACAAGAGGGTAGGAAATGCAAGAAATGTTGATCAAGGGCTTACAAAGGGGGGGAAAGGGGTTACCTAAGAAAAGGAGAAGAGGGACAAATCCAGACTTCTTGTCCTGTCTCAGATAGCCACATGACAGTGACCTGGGCCTCCCTCTCCATGATCCCCTCACACCACCCTTGCTTTCCAGAATCTTCCAGCCACATCGGCCTCTGTTAACTAGCTGCTTTTCACTGCTTCATGGAGCCTAGTAATTATTTGTCATTGTGCATCCTCCTCACTCAAGTTCAGGCCTCATGGGAGCAGGAAGATTATCTGTCTTGTTCACTATTGTAGTCTCAGGACCCAAAATCTGGACAGTGCCTGGCATGTAGTAGAATGAATAAATGAATGAATGAATGAATGAGGAATGAGTGAGCTAGATGGAATTATTCTGAAGTGAGTAGACTATCAAGAAGTGGCACCCAGCCAGTATGGCTCAGAGGTTGAGCATCAACCTATGAACCAGGAGGTGCACTGGTCAGCGCACATGCCCTGGTTGCTGGGGCTCAGTCCCTAGTAGCAGGCATGCAGGGGACAGCCAATCAATGATTCTCTCTCATCACTGATTTTTTTTTTTTTCTATCTCTCGCTCCCTTCTTCTCTGAAATTAATAAAAACATATTTTTTAAAAGTGGCTATTGGGCCGCATGGGGTTCTTACTAGTTGGGGTGGGCTCTTTGTGATCGAAAATGTAGTCTTGGGTTTCCCATTGGTGGCAGAGAATGACTTTGGAGCCCCCAGTCCTCTGAACTGGGGTCATGCCTCTTGTTCCTGAAGCCTCTACGTAACTGCCCCCTCCTGCCCCCTTCACCACCACCATTCAGAGTGGCCTCAGGCTTCGTGCATAGTGTTGCACCAGGACTCACATTGGGAAACAAGGTGATAGAGTGACCACTTCTCCTCACCAGGCATCACCCCGCCCTCACCTGGCTTGTTGGGAGGGAGGCGGCCCATGGAGGGCGTGGTAAGAGGGCCCCCTGTCTCAGAACTGCAGTGAATGTGAGCACCCTCCTGAGAGGAGCGCTTCGTTTCCCTGGTTCACAAGAAGAGCGAGGAGACCAGTTGGAGATCACCAATTGACCAAGAGATTAGCTCACTGGGTGTCAGCCTAACCTTAGAGCAGAGCCACCTGTGAAGATGTGTTCAGTTAGTTACCAGGCATGAATGTTCCTATATGTATGTTATATTTTTATTGTTTATTTTTTTTAATATATTTTATTGATTTTGTACAGAGAGGAAGGGAGAGAGAGAGAGAGCTAGAAAAATCGATGAGAGTCATCAATCAGCTGCCTCTTGCACACCCCCTACTGGAGATATGCTCGCAACCAAGGTACATGCCCTTGACCGGAATCGAACCCAGGTCCCTTCAGTCCCCAAGCCGACGCTCTATCCATGGAGCCAAACCAGTTTCGGCTTATTGTTTACTTTTTAAGCCCACATACCTGGACCCACTCTCACAGGTTCTGTTTTATTATGTCTAGGATATTTCCTAGGCACCTACATAATTTTTAAAGCTCTCCATATGATTCTTATTAGCACGTAGGGTTAAGAACTATTGATAAGCAATGACTGAGGACCCAGGAAGGTGGCAGTGTAGGAAAGGGGGGAAGGATGCTGAGGCAGGATGTCAGTTCCATTTAGAATTATGAAGTTCCAGAAAGCCCAACGGATTGATGGTTGATAGACATAAAACCTCTGGATGTCCAAAAGAAAGCCATTATAAAATATAAGAAGCAGGTAACTGGTGGGAAATATAGCAAAAGCTTTGTAGCCTTACTATGTATAGAGAACTTTTACAGATCAATAAGGTGAGCACCCAATAGAAAAACGGAGTACGGGCAAGAACAGACAGTTCGCAAAGGAGAAATACAATGGGCCGATACACTTAGGAAAAGTGGTCAGCCTCACTAGGAACCAAATAAATGCAAATTAAAACAACAGAGACGTTATCTTTTGCCTAGCTAATTGGCGAAGATTAAATACATGATAATACCTCATGTTGGTGAGGGTGTGGAAAAAAACAGGCCCTGTCATTCACTGGTGGGAGTACAGATTGATGCAACCTTTCCAGAAGGTAATTTGGCAACCGTAACGCTGAGGAAGATTGCAAACCTTTGTGACGCAGCAATTCCACTTTTAGGAAGATCGCCTTAGGAAATGATTGTGGATAATAATAACAATAATAGCTAACCTTTATTAAATGCTCGGTGCGTGCCAAGCTCCACACGCATTATCTCATATAATCCTCACCGCCGTCATCCCACAAGCTGAGCTGTTATCACCTGTTCTTTATAGACAAGGAAATTGAGGTGCAAACAGATTAATTAAGTCAATGACCAGAGGACGCAAAACTAAAAAGTAGCATAGCCTGGATTTGAACCCAGGCAGTCTGAGTCAATATCCATCCTACCTGTACAACAGTGTATGCTGGGTGTGTGCGTTGGATATAGAAGGTACACAGTGGGCAGAGGTGCAAGGATGTTCCCCCGGGCTTGTGTGTAATGAGGAAGAAAGCAAGGGGAGAAAACCTGCAAACCACCCCATCATAGGAATTGGTCACCTAGATTGTGATAGACTCTACTGGAATACTATGCAACCAGGAAAAATGCCATAGGAAAAAAGTGTGAGGTCAATGGAGGAAAAGGGAGACTCGTGTAATACTTTAAACAATAAAGAATTTAAACTTAAAAAAAAAGGGAAAAGGTATGTGAATACTAGGGGTTTTTTGTATATGTATGTTACTAATGATTCCATTTTGTTAAAAATGTGTGTTTTATATATGCCTGAAGATCTGTGAAAGGATATCAAAGGAACTGACAAAATTGGCTGCCTTTTAGAAAAAAGGCAGTGGTGAGACGTGAGAGAGAGACTTGTTTCAAGCCACAGATCCTTTCTCACCTCTTGAATTTTGAATCGTGTGAATATATCATCTATTAAAATGACTGGCCTGACCTTCTCCCTGCCTTCTCCTTCCACCCCCAGCCCCGAACCCTTAGCTGAGTTGGCGCCTCCCTCAGTCTGGTATGTGGCAGTGCCTCTGGCTTCAGCACCTCATGCCTCCCTGGGCCGTGCTGTGTGTCAGTGCCAGGTGACAGCTCCCCGAGAGGAGGCGCTGCCTGTCATCTGGGTCTGCCTGCGTCGCCTGGGACAGAAGTCAGGTCGCGAACACTGAAGTCAAGGAGACCTGGGTTTGAACCCCAGTTCCACCACCTTGAGGAAGGGACTTCACCATCCTGTGCCTCGGTTTCCCCATATACAAATGGCTTAATCATTGCAGTGAGCTAATAGGATTATTTTCATAAGATAATGTATGTAAAGCTCCCGGTACCATTCCAGGCAGAAGGGGAGCTCACTCCAGGTAGTAGCCACACGGCATCATCGCAGACCCTCTGTGAACGCTGGTTGAAGTGAACTGGGAAATGACGCCTGGAGGGGCAGGTCCCCAGGCCCAGCCCAAGGACAGTCGCCCTTCCTCCATTGCTCATGCTTGGCTCTGCCCATCACTGCCATGCTCACCTCCCTGCCTTGTGCCCCCACAGCCACCCGGCCCAAGCTGAAGAAGATGAAGAGTCAGACGGGACAGGTGGGGGAGAAACAATCGCTGAAGTGCGAGGCAGTAGCCGGTAACCCCCTGCCCTCCTACCGCTGGTTCAAGGATGGCAAGGAGCTGAACCGCAGCCGCGACATTCGCATCAAGTACGGCAACGGCAGGTGAGCAGCAGCCATCCCTCCCTCCTGGCGTCTTCCCTCCCGAGGAGGAGGGTCCCGAGCTGTCAGAGCCTAAGGGCTGTGTCCCCAGACTCACCTGTGGATCAAGTTCCCACCCCCTTCCTTGCCACCACCAATAATTTCTCCTTGCAACCCTGGGCTCCTCTGATTATGTTGGCCCAGTGCCTTCAGACTATAGATGCTGAATTAATATCTCTGGATGGTTGAAGGCAATGTGATTGTCAGTCAGCTTTGCCTGTGGAGGCCCACTCTTATCCTAGAATTCTCAAAGGACCTGCCACAGTGTCTGAAAGCCCAGCATTTGGCAATCCCTGCGGGAAAGCCCGCTTGCAGAATGCACCTGGGAGGCCATGTGTGGTGATGGGCTGGTTCCTCAGCTCAGCAAGCTGAACTGGGCAGAGAGCTGGATACGGGGGAAGGGCACAGGGCTTTGACTAATGCTGTGGGAGTCTGTGTCTCACACAGCTTCCCCCTATGACATGGGATTGTCTTTAATCTGGAGTCAGCACTCCAGAGAAGTGAATCAGACACTCAGGATCCTCCAGCTGTGGGAGATGGCTTCTCTTCCATCTTGGGGTTGGTCGAGTGGGGGCTTCGGGCACCAGAGAAGGCAGCTCCTCACCTCTCTCCTGCCTCTCACAACCCCCAACAGACTGCTGGGTAGCAGAACAAGGAAGAGGGGAAGCCCCATCTGCCTGACCTCTGTTCTGCCTGAGGGCCAGGTGCACCTCCCTCTCTAGCCAAGAGCACCCTAGTCTTTCCTGCCCCTTCGGAGTATCTTACGACCACCCCCTTCCTGGCTATCCTTGTCCTCCTCGCTGCCCCCCAAATGCAAACAAGGATGATTTCAGAGGACCCGAGCCTGCCCCACAACAGAGAGTGATGGGAGGCCAGGGCTCAGGCTGCTCCTGGGTTGCTGTGCGGCCCCAGCCGTGCACATTCTGCCCCTGGGCCTCTGACTCCAACGTGTGAAAAAGGGTTTGGGGGTGTGGAGTCTGGGAGGCACTGTTTTCTGACTGTCCTTTCACCGGGGAGCAGAGGCAGAGCTGGTCACCTGGAAAGTGGTCCAGGCCAAATGGGAATTTACAAAGAGTTTGATTTGATCAGTGATTCCCAACCTGTTTTTGGCTCGGCCCCACCTAAGCATCTCTAAAATCCTGATGCCCCCCCCAACATATAATTCTTATCATTCAAAAAGTGGACCCCTTTTCACGTGGAGGAAGCCTAAAAAGGCCATTAACTCCGTCTAAACAAGCTTCCAAAGAACGTGGCATCCATGAAAGATAAAAATAAAGAAAATAAAGAAAATAAAAATAAAGATAAAAATAAAGAACCAAAGGACAGATGAAGAACTGAGGAAGAAATCACTAAGAAATGGTTAAAAATAATAATAATATAATATGAAGTGATAATGAAAAATAGCAAATAAAGATTCAAAACACATAACAGAGAACTGAAATGCATGAATATGTCACAATATATATTTATCCTAGAGGCCCGATGCACAAAATTAGTGCAAGGGGCTCGTCCCCCACCTGCTGTGGCGGCTGCCTCTGCCTGGGCACCGCAGCCCAGGGCCTCTGCCTTGCCCCACCACCACGGCTTCATCAGGAACGTCTTCTGGAAGGACGTCCAATCTAATTAGCATATTATGCTTTTATTATTATAGATACTGAATAGGAGGCCCCTAGAACCGTAAGAAATGCAAAAAAACTTCACTGTTCATAACTCCTTCTCCAATTGCCCACCCCTTAAAAATCAAATTGCCCCCCTGCGAGGTGTGTGCCCCACGTTGGGAACCACTGGTTTAGATCAAAAGTTTGTGGCTGAGAGAATGCTGCATCCTAGGGAAATTGGGGAGAGGGGTCTGTGTGTCCCCAATCTACATATTTAGCAAGAAACTCAGGTTGCCCACCCAGCTCACCTTCTGAGGCCACCCACCCCTTCCCACTGCCCAAGACTGGCTCCACGCTGGAGAGAGGAGTGGACAGGCTTCTGGGATTGTTGGGGCGCCTGTCCTCTCTTTCTGGGAGGTCAGCGCGAACTCTTTCTCAGGACCTCTGCATCTCAATTAACAAGGAGAGAGGCCATCTCCAAAAAGAAAACGAGCAGGAGAGAGGGTTCCCCATTATTCTGAAACACGTCCACAACTTGGCCATCCTCACCCTCCCCCCCCCCCCCCCCCCCCCGTACCTGATCCCATGTCCCATTCACACGTGAGAACGCACATCCTCAGAGCCTCTGCGCCACCAACAAGGTCCTTTCTCTGGCGACTTCAGCCTTTCCCTCTCTCCTCACAAGCCCACTCCCATGGCTCCCCTCCCCGTGGCTGTGCCTCTTCCTCTTCCTGCTGTTGCCCCTTCTTGCTTCTTCCCTCTACCAGCACACGGGGTCAGTTTCATGCCCACTGACTCCCCTCTCCTGTCCTCCACGCCTCTCGGCTCCACTAGACTCTGCCCTGCACATACACCCCACCCCCCATGCTGCAGCTCTTGACAGACCCCGCGATTCAGAACTTCCTGGCCCTGCACCTTCAGGCCTGTCAACGTCATTGACTTGGGTGCCACGTGCTCCCTGGCCCCTATGGTCCTCCTACACCTCTTAACCACCCTTAGTCGCCATCGGCGCTGAACTTCCCCGTCTTGTGAGCTTCACTCTCCTCTCTCCTCTCTCCTCTCTCCTCCACGTGTGGGTGTTTGGTCGAGTGGGGGCTTCGGGCACCAGAGAAGCCAGGAGTTCAAGGCAGCTCCTCACCTCTCTCCTGCCTCTCACAGCCCCCGACAGACTGTTGGATGGCAGAACAAGCTCTCATATCTGATGACCCCAGGCCTCCATCTCCAGTTTGATGATTTGTTTGTTGTTGTTTTTTAAAAAAAAAAAAACCTGGGTTCCAGACCCATGCTGCCAACTAAACACTAAATACCACCCCTGAGATACTCCGCAGGCATCTCTAATCCGGAGTCCCTCAGCCTGGCCTCTCCCTCCTGCCCCCTCTGGCCCTGCCTCACCCTCCCGTGCTCCCCTCTCAGCCTTGGCTGAAGCAGATGTCTGTTGCTCAGCACTGTCCCCCATGCCGTCCCCTCCAGTTGGGTACTTTTCCAGAAGGAAGCACCCTTCCCCCTGCCTCACAAGCTTCGAATTCGATCCCCTAGCTTGTAGCCTCTTCCCCTCCACTGTCCCACTCTTGGCTGTCCCCACCCTTTCTGGTCGGTCCTGGGCCCTTTGTGGATTAGTTTCTGTATCTAACATGGCACCGACTGTGTGCCAGGCCCTCTGCCGGAGCCCGATAGACACCAGGGAATGGACCTGGCATGGTTGCAGCCTTCACCGGGTTTCCAGTCTAGCCTCTGGTGTAGAATGCAGGTAGAGGACTCCGCCCTTTCTTCAGAAAATGCGTATCTCGTCCGCCCAGTTTTGCTTACTATTCTAGACGTCTGGAGTCACCAACTCCCATGACTCTGACGGGGGATGATGATCTTTCTAACATGGGCACATGTCCGATCTTCCATTCATTTACATGACAGATCTTGAGTGCCTGCTGTAAGCCAGGCACAGCCCAGGCCTTGGGGCCCTTCCGACTCTTTTCTTCCTGCCCCGCAGTTCCCCAATACCTCAGTGCTCCCGGTCTCTGCTCTTTCCTTTTGTGGCCCTGGACTTGGGCTCAGGCTGCTCCCTGTGCTGGCAGCAGACCCCCATACGCACACACGCTGTCCCTGGACAAGTTCTCCAAGGCCCCGCTTAAATGTCAGGGCCTCTGGGACACCTTCTGGAGCCTCCAGGCAGCCCTCGTCACCTCCTGTCATAATGCCTCAGACACAGTCCCATTGCATTGTTGGGGGCTGTCTCTCTTTCTAGCATGAGAGGGCTCCCCATACCTGTCTCCCCTGCATGGCCTGGCAGAGGGTGACAGTAGGACGGGGAAGGTCACCCTTTGGGATGACCTGGACTTTGACACTTCAGCATCCTGGGCAAGCTAACAATTAGGTCAGCCAGTCAAGAAGCAGGGCCTGGCCAGGCCTTCACCTGGGTATCGGGGACCCCTGAGAGCCTGAATGTGCCCCTGTCCCCTTCCTGTCAGGGACCCATCCCAGCTGCTGCCTTTCTGAAATATCCTTGCTCCACCCAGCCTGCCCCTGGGCTCCCGGCAGTGAGAGGGCAGAGTGAAGGGGTGGGCCATGATCCGGAATGTCTGATTCCGCGTTGTGACTCAGAGAACTGCCACCTCCACTCATACTTCCTCCGGCCTGGGGGCAGGGGCAGGGTCTCCTGGCTGGCAGCATCCTCTCTCCTTCTGCCCGCACTGCAGCTTGCTCTCTGGCCCCTAGCACTCCTCTGCCCAGGCCACACTCTGTCTTGGCATTGCTCTCAGCCTTGCAGAGACCCCCCCCCCTCCCTGGCAGGTGCCGTCTGCCTCAGGGGCTGCCACAGGAGGTATCTCCCCCAAGCTTTCCTGCGCCAGGAGAACACTGGCCCCCCAAGCCCTGGGCACAGGCCCTCCCCGGCAGAACCGTGAGTTCCCTTATTTATGAGGTGCAGGCTGGGACAGGCCCCTCCGGCAAGCAGAGGGAGGTAGGCGCTGAGGAAAATGTGCGAGTAGAGGACGTGGCAGCCCAAATCCCATCCCTGCCAACAAAAGACTGGCTGGGAAAGGAAGGGAGGAGCATCCATCACAGGGGCAGATCCGAGGCAAGGGGCACAGGGGAGCCAGGCCTGCCCCGGGGGGTGGGAGAGAGTCCTGAGTCTTTGCAACTAGGCTACTATGAGACTAGGAGTGAGGAGAGAGCATAGTGTGTGTTATCCCCATCCGCCTGGTTCCTCGGGGCCAGGGAGACCCACAGAGCCCCGCCTTCGGCTCTGACCCCAGGACCTTTTTTGCGAACGCCTGGGGCCCATCCCCCTGGAACTGGCAGTGTCATCACACAGCTGGTGCATGTAGAGGCCATCCTTCTTGTGCCTTTGACTCTTTCTGGTTTCTCAAAGGGGAGCGGCTCTCCCTGGGCCCACCACGTCTTTCCCCACTCTCCCCAGGTCTTATTTTCATAGGGAAGCTCTTCTCTCCTGTGTGAGCCTTAATCCCTTCGTACATGTGTGAGCCTGGCTCCGTCTTTTCCTGCTACATCTGGTGTCATATAAGGAAGGTCCTTTGAGCTCAGCTGTGGCGACAAGGAGGTTCTGGCTCTGGGTCGGCTCTACCGTGACCCTGTGACCCTCCGGCGATCACCACCCCGCCCCCCCCCCCGCCCCCTTTGCTTGTCTAGTGTCAGGGAAGACCTGGTGGCTGGGGAGCCTGGTCCTGAGGCAGCTGGGCTTTGTGGCATGTAATTAGGCTGCAGCCAGGAAAGAGACGCTGTCTTGGCCAGAGGGGCCTCCCAGGCTCTGTTTAACAAAGGGAGCAAACTTGAATTGACAGAAGAGGGCTGTAGGCAGACACCAGGCCAAGGAGACACAGACTGGCTTGAGCTGGTGAAAACTGGGTGGGGTGGAGGGGCAGTGGGAGGGTCAGGCAGCTGTCACTGGAACATCAATAAGGATATTGCCATAGCAACAGGGCCTACAAATAAGACAACTTCATGAACCCTTGTCTGGGGAATCTTGGAGTGAGGCAGCCTGGGGAAAGGCCGGCTCCCACAGGCAGAGGTGGAGCCCAGGAGACCGGGGTCCACCGCACAGCCCGGTGGAGACGTGGGTCCGTTTGCCAGCTCCTCCCCTTGGCCTGACCTCTCCCCAGTCCTTCCTCATCGCCTTTCCTACATCCCTGGGCTCCACACCCCTCCACTCACTGCACATATTCTGTGAATCTGGTGTTTTAATTCAGGACAAAAAGGAGAAGAAGCCCTCAGCCTGGAGAGAAATTTTCATGCTACTTCTTGTTTCTCCTTGGGGGCCAGTCTGGGGTCCCCGGCTTCATCTGGGGCTCCAGCCAGCCCCTGGAGAACACTGGGGCAGAGGAGCTGTGGGAGATGTGACCAGAACCTGCAGAGCACAGGTTCCCTGGGGCAGGTGCAGAGAGACTCTGGGAAGGAAGGAGAGGTCGGCAGGGTTTCCAGGAAAGGGGAGAATCAGGGCCAGGAATCCTAGTCACACAAGCACTGGAGTTGCTGCCCGGGCCTGGCCTCATGTCTCTCGGCATGCAGGGGCTGGGTCCTCCACAGAGGGGTCTACCCCAGTGTCAGTCTCCGCGGGAAAGCCCATGCCCTCACCAGCTCCAGCACTTTGTCCACCTCTGCCTCTGCTTTGCCATGTGTCCTTGGACAAGTCTAGAAGCCCCTCTAAGACTCAGGTTTCCCATCTGTGCTGTTCTGTCCACCACTTCCAGATTAGCCATGAGGGTCAATTCAGGCCACAACGACAGGATCTCTTGTTCCCTAAGCTATCCAAGCTCCTGGCTCTCAGAAAGCACTCAGTAAACTTTTATTGAATGAATGAATGAATGAATGAGTGAAGTGAAAGCCCCTTGGAGAGGCCACAGTGTGCCCCTCAGTGGCAGAGCTAGTGTGAAGTTAGGGGAGAGCCACAGGTTGGAGCTGGGAGACTGGGCACAGTTGCCATGGAAACCTGTCGGAGCAGACACACACACACACACACACACACACACACACACACACACACACGCCCCTTAGGTATCTGGGAATGGGCTTTGCATTCAGGGTGACAGGCTGCCACTTCCAAGGAAAGGGTAGCGGTGAGCCAGGCTGACCTGGGGTTGGGGGAAAACACTGGGGCTGGGGGAGGGGCGCGGAAAGAAGAGGAGGGAGGTGGCCATGTGACTCCCTCAGGGACCCCGATTTCCTCACCCAGAAAAATAGCTGCAAATAAGGACCAGCCTTGGAAACGGGAATGTGGAGATGCGTAGATTCGGAACATGTGTGTTGCCTCTAGCCCTGTCCTGTGCTCTCCTGGTGCCCAGGTTTCCCCCCAGCTGCAGGGGCTCAGCGTGTCACTCCCCCCCCCCGCACCCCCGGACCTCAGACTCCACTCCCCATCCACCCTTCGCAGCCGCGGCGGCTCTGCGGGGCGAAGTGACCTCCGGGTGACCGCTGGGGAGTCACAGCCAGCCCGGCCCGGCTCACGCCTCTCCCTTTTATTGCCTCCCTCACCAGAAAGAACTCACGACTACAGTTCAACAAGGTGAAGGTGGAGGACGCAGGGGAGTACGTCTGCGAGGCCGAGAACATCCTGGGGAAGGACACGGCCAGAGGCCGGCTCTACGTCAACAGCGGTAGGTAGTCCGCCCGCGGAGGGAGGTGTCCGCAGGGGTTCCAGTTGCCCCCCAGCCCTGGGGAGCCGGCACATGATCCATCTTGCACTTGACTCCCCTCCCTCCTGCTGCTGCCATATCAAGCCCCGAGATCTGGACCGATTCAGAGAAATGCAGCCGAAGCATAAATGTTTAGCTTTGTTATCGGGGCCTGGAAGAGCCGCCAGCTCTCATTTTAAATACCCTAAAAACTAAATATTTTGAAATCAAGAGGTGGGGGTGAGGGGGAAGGATATTTTTAGAAGGCAATTATGGCAGGCTGGGCTGCCAAGCCCCCGCTCCAAGGAGAGACAGGCCCAGGGTGTGTGCGCGCCGAGCTTGGTGCCTGTTGCCGTGCCGGGCACGCGAGTGCAGGCAGCCGTCCTCATGGGGCCGTGGGGGGAGGCGTGGGTGCCTTTGGCCCTGGGGACAGCCTCTGTTCAGGGCTGGCAGGCCCCTGCCCTACGTGTCATTCTCTCCCTTGAAAACTTGTGAGGCCAGAAGCTCGAGACACCTTTGCCTCCCCTCGCCAGCTTGAGCGCCAGCTGGAGCGTGGAGGCTGCCCCCTGCTGGGCTGTCTGTCCTCTGGGGCCCTTCCCTGGGGAAGTCTCTGGAACGGCCTGTCCTCAGGCTGCTCCCCTCTACTCCAGCACACCCCACAGAACACGTCCTTCTCCCTGACACCCAGGCCTAGCATGCCATGTGGCCACCTGGGTAAGGGGGTCGGCTTCCCAGTCCCGTCCATGTCACAGAGTCTAACCCTGTATCTGTCCTCGCCCACCTGTGTTTCCGCCATACAGCCTTTCAGGACTCTAAGCCCAGCCTGGTCTAAAGAGAGCTCGGATGTGGCTGCCCTGGGCCTGCCCTCAGGAAAACCTGGCGCAGACACTGTCTGCCCTGATCTTGGGAGGGTCCCCTGTCTCCCAGCCTCTCGGGCTCCTCCATCTCTTTTGTCACTGGATCCAATAGGTCCCGGTCAGGCTTCTTTCTGGGCCTTTCTCACACCTGTCCCTTCTGTTCCCTCCCCACCTCAGGAGCAACCTCAGCCCAGGTTTTATTCCTAATCCCCTGGACCAGAGCAAAGGCCTCTCATGCCGCTTCCATCCTGTCACGCACCCATCCTGGGGCCACAGAACAAACCCTGTCCCACAGCCCAGCTCTCCGGGGAAGCCCAAAGGATCTCCCCAGTCCCCCCTGCAGCCTGTCCCTGGCACCCATCACTATTTCTCCCCCTGGGCCATCTCTCCCAGGCAGCCTTCCTCCCTGACCAGGCCCAGCCCGAGGCCTGGTCCTGGGCCACTTCTTGGTCAGCCATGGTCTTGGGTAGCTCTTGAACTCTAGCCTTCGAAGGTTCTTCAGCTCTCATAGAGTCGCTGCGCTTTCTCTGTGGGTATGAGCTCCCCAGGGCAATTGTGAGCCAGGAGTGGGGAGAGCGGGATGATGCCTTCTCCCAGCAGTTTCAATAATAGCCACAATTTTAAAAATAATAATAATAATAATAGCCACAACTGCTGAGAGCTGCTCTGCATGAGGCTCCCTATGGTCTCTTGAGCCCCTACTCAAGGCCATGAAGTATTTTAATATATTTTTCTTATTGATTTCAGAGAGGAAGGGAAAGTATGAGAGAGAATCATTGATCAACTGCCTCCTGCATGCTCCACACTAGAGATTGAGCCTGCAACCAGGCATATGCTCTGACCAGGAATCGAATCATGGCCTTCTGGTTCATAGGCCAATGCTCAACCACTGAGCCACACCCACCGGGCTGAAGTATTTTATAAATTATAACACTGAGAGGTTAAATATTTTTCTCAAAGTCAAATAACTAGACCGTGCACTCCAGGGGGCAACGCGGGGCTGTTTACTACTCTTGCCTCTGGGCCTAGCACAGTGCCTGGCTTACAGCAGGCCCCTGGGAAATAGTATATAAAAGGGCTTGGAACCTGCTCCAAGGCCATTCACTGACTCCCACATGCCCCAGCCTGGGCCCCCTGCTCCTCCCTACTTGTCCCAAGCCTGGGAAATGGACCCAGCATCTGCTGTCTCAGCCAGAGTGGGCAGACGGTCTCAGGTCCACTTTGGATTTCAGATGCCCTATTTCATTATTCAAAACTTTCTTGGTTAGAGCTGACAACAACCTGACCTAAAACTACCTGAAGGAATGTATCGGCTTATAAAACTGAGACGGCCAGAGGTAGAACTGGCCCAGGCAGGACAAGAACTCACAGCAGGGTCAGGATGCTCTCTCCCACTGTTAGCTTCATTTTCTCTTACTGGAAAACGGGTTTCTCCGTGTCTGGGGAATGGTCAGGGAAGAGGAGGCCATGGCCTCAGAAAGCTCCAGGTTTATATCATCCCAGCTCGCCACCCAGGGAACAGGGATAGTCTGTCTCTGTGTCCATACATACAATCACACAGGTGGATGCCAACGGCTCCCTGCTCTGGTGACATGCCCTGCTTGGCCCAGTCACCGGGCTCAGGGGGGTGAGGTGCCACCTGTGTGAGTGTGTGATTGCCAGCCTGTGAGTGTGCAGGAGTATTGAGAGGCAGAGTGCTCTGTGTGTGCCTTGCTAGAACTGTGGGGGGCGGGAGTGCTGTTAGCAGAGGAGGAGGAGAGGGCTGCCATGCAAAGCCACAGGAGTGCCCTCTCTCCTGCACAAGCTGAGGACCTCAGGCTCGGGACTGTTGTGAGATCCCTCAGAAAAGCTGCAACTCCCCCTACACCAGCCCTCAGCAGCCCACGCTCTGATCAGTTAGGGAAGGGGACAGCAGAGCTCTAGGCTGGGCCCTGAGGACTTCCCGTAAGGCCCCTGGCCTCTTGTCCTTGCAGCCTGGCCAGAGAGCAGCAGGGCAGAGTGGCGGAGAGAATTCAGGGCTTTGGTCTCATCCCAGCTCAAAGGGGCAACCCAGGACGAGTTACTCTACCTCCCTAGTCTTAGGTTTTCCCCTCTGAGCCTCAGCTAGATGATCCCTAAGCCCCTTTGCTCACGGAGAAACTCCTGGGATTCTGAGTTTGACATTGAAGCTGACATCCTATGCACCGAGCTGCTGCCGCTGCCGCTGCCACCACCACTTCCACCGCCCACCCCTCCCGGCGCGCGCCCCCCCCCCCCCCACACACACACCATCTTTCTGTTGCTCTGTTCAGTCCATGGCAGGAAAGAACCTACTCTTGATGAGGTGAATGGGGTCACTGAAGGGGACCGGAGGCCCCTGCTGGGGACATTTTCCCAAGCAGAAATGTTCAGGCTCCCTGTTTTCCTGTGGAATCCAGAAGCAACCACACCCTGGGAAATGGGGAGGGCGGGTAACGGGCCTCGGTGCCTGCCCCCCTCTGACTCATCCCGAGGTGGGTAGACTTGGCCCGCCCGGGCCCCAGGGGAGCCAGGGCTACTGGAGTGGGCAGGCTAGGAGAGGGCATGGGAGGGCTGGCAAGGAGCAGGGGCTGCTCAAGGAGCATCCTGGTGGCTCTTTGCTACGTAGCTCTGTTCCAGCGGGCCTCAATGGTCCTTCCCAAATCATAGGGCACCCTTCTTGCCGTCACAGCTCTGCCAGCTCATAAGAAGCACATTTCTGAGTTGGCTGGGATAAGGAGGAGGAGACAAAGCGTTTGTGATGTTTTTAACAGGAACAACCTGCTTGGTCCAGTCCACTTCTGAATTAGAGCAGCCAGCTGCCTCATCCCCAGGTGAGGGAATGTCCCAGGTGACTGGACTAGTCCCAGATGTCAAACCACCTGTGCTTCACCCAGGTGGCAGGCACGTTTGGCCTGGCGTGTCACAAGGCCATGGAAGCCTGGAGAGGCTTCTGGGCCTGTCCATTACCTGGAGGCTTAAAAAGGCTGTTTAATTGCATACACATGCACGCGTGCACTCTGACTCATGCAGGCACACACACGCATGCACCTCCACACGTTCAGCAGGCCTTCCTCAGCAAGACCGTGTTTTGAGCTCTGGGAGGCAGTCTCAGCTTCTGACAAAGTTCCTTAAATGGCAGGAAGCTAAAACCTGAACTCGAAGGGTCTGCCTGTCCTAACACACCGAAGAGGAAGGACAAGCAGCTTTGGCAGCTTTATCGATGAGAAAGGGGGCCTTCTGGGCAGGTGGGAGGGGAGCCTTGAGGGATGAGAGGCTTCTCCGTGAGGGAGGGAGAAACAGCTGCCACAGCTGGCAGCAGGGAGAGCATCCATACCATCTGCCCCCTCCTGGCCCGTTCTCTCCACAGGGACCCGGGAAACTTACACCAAGAAACTCATGGCTCATGTGCCAGGCATTTTTCTAAATCAGAAATTTTAGGTCTAGTTGACATGCTACAAAATCCACTCTTTCTAAAGCATACAATTCAGTAGGTTTTCGTACATTCACAAAATTGTAAAACCGTCACCACTAATTCCAAAACATTTTCATTGACTCAAAAAAAAAAAAAAATACCAAATACTCATTAGCAGTCACTCCCCATTTATCCCTCCCCTTAGTACATGACATTCCATGACTAGTTTCTTCCACTTGATATGTTTTTAAGGTTCATCCATGTTGTAGCATTTATCAGTACTTCACGTTTTATAGATGAATAATGGATAAACACTTAGTTTATCCATTCATCAGTGAGTTGTAGGGTCATTCAGGTTTGTTTTCACAGTTGGGCTACATCGATGCTGCTGCTGTGTCATTTGTGTACAAGTCTTGGTGAGGACACATATTTTCAATTATCTTGGGTACATACCTACGAGTAGAATTTCTAGGCCCACATGACAACCCTCTTTTTAATTTCTTTGAGGAACCACCAGACTGTGTTCCAAAGTGGCAGTACTGTTTTACATTCCCCCCAGCAATGCATGACAGTTTGAATTTCTCCTCGTCTTCACCACTACTGTCATTATCCGTCTCTTTGACTATAGCTAAGTGGGGATGAGGTGGTATCTCACTGTGGTTTTTATTTTCATTTCCCTGATGTTCTCCCAGGAATATTTGCATTTAATGGGAAACAATGTTTTGATCTACAGAAAAGCTGCATCCTCATCGGCCAAGGTTCAGTGGTCAATGAGACAGGCAGGGCCCCTGCCCAAATGGAGATTACGTTCTAGTGGAGGGGAGGGCCTAAGCTTTAAACAGCTAGTAATCGCACAACTAGCCATTTAATTATGTTAGAATAAGCACTGCAAGTACAGATATACAAAGCTAAGAGAAAAGTAAGGAGGAGCCTGAGCAGCCTCTCTGAGATAGTGATTTTTTTATTTATTTTTATTTATTTTTTTAGTGACTTAAAAGTACATTTATTATCCTTCAGACATAGCTTAGCTGGTTCCTGCAGCTCAGGGCCTGTCACAAAACTTCAATCAGGGCCTCTGGGCTCAACCTGGGTGTTTGGAGTGGGGTCAGAGGGTCAGGATCCACGTATAAACTCACTCATATGGCCATTGGCAAGCCTAGGTCTATACACTCAGTTGACCAGAGATGAGATACTAATATTTTGAAAGTCCTGGACAGGAAGGCACCTGGCTTGCTAGAGGAGTTGGACTAAGTCAGTGACATCTGCACATACTGTAAGAGAGGAATAGGGCATGAAGTAGGAGAGGTGGGAAGGCCCAGATTGGACCTGGAAAAAGTTGAGGGACTCTATCCTGAGTGCAAATGGAAGCCATAGGTGGATTTTGATCATGGAAATGATTGATCGATATTCTAAAATCCAGTTTGCCCCTAGCCAGTTTGGCTCAGTGGATAGAGTGTCAACCTCTGGACTGAAGGATCCTGGGTTCGATTTCAGTCAAGAGCATGTATCTTGGTTGCAGGCTTAATCCCGGCCCTAGTCAGCATGTGTGGAAAGCAAACAATCAATGTGTCTCTCTCACATCAATGTTTCTCTCTCTGTGTTTCTCCCCCTCTCTTCCACTCTCTCTAAAAATCAATGGAAAAAATATCCTCGGGTAAGGATTAACTAAAAATTAAAAATAAATAAAAACCACTTTGGCATCTACGAAATGAAATGGTTAGAGGTGAAGGCAAGAGTGAGGGCAGAAAGGCCAGTGGGAGGCTATGATAGTTGTGCACAGAAGAGACCATGCGACCAGGGCTGGGGAGGCAGGAGTGAGACAGGGATAGAGACTCGTGCAGAGGTAGAAAGGCAGCCCTTGGTGACAGACAGCTGGGGAAATAAAGGAGAAAGAGAACCAAAGATACCCTCTAGGTAATAGGTTTGTTCCCTGCAGTCACTGGCTGGGCAGATGATTGGCAGCTGAGTTTGGGATGGAGGTGGGAGCAGCCAGACTCTGCAACTTGGAGTCCGTATGTCATCTTCACTTTCCCAACCACAGGAGAACACAGTGACGAGGGAGTAGGGATGTGTCGCCTTGAGAGCCTACAGAGTTGCCCTGCAATGACTTAGGAAGGCCTTGCCATCACAGGGTTGGGGTGTGTGTGTGGGAGGGGGGGGGGGAGAAAGGCCTACGTCACTTCCCCCACACACCCTGTGACTGGCTCCCCCATTGGCCTCCCCTTTTGCCTTTCTAGTCCCCATGACAACCCAGCTCTGGCAGCCCAGGCCAGGGCAGCCCAGGGGGGACCCTGGCTTCCTTCAGGAGTTGTCCTCTGCCTCCCAGGGCCTTGAGGAGCAGACAGGCATGTGGACAGACCCAAGTGTGCAGTGACGGTCCCTGCCACCCTCCTCCCTGCCCTCTGCTGCTCACTCAACACAGCGATGGGCAGCTTTCCGGCCCGTGACCGCAGTGGAAGCCAAGCTGGGCCTGGCAGGTTCAGGACAAGACTTCTCTGGCTTAGCCAAGCCTCTCAGAGGACGCAGGCCTGTGGTCCACATCGGGTTTGCATTCATCGGCTTATGTCAAGTCTTGCACAGACGTGTGCTTCCACAGGAGACTGTGGCTGGCAAGCGTGCACGGCCGGGCGTCATAGATCCTTGTCACAGCACACACTGTGACTCTGAACAGGCACTTCCCTGCTCTTTCCTCACCCCGCCTTGGCAGCGTAACCAAAGGACAGGACAACCTCTAGGGTCATTCCAAGCAACAGGATTTTATAATTCGCAGGCGTGGTCACCTCAGCTGTTTCTCTTCTCCGTCCCTTTCTTCGTTCCCTGGGTCTCACTGACCCAGAAAGGAGGCAGAGACCAGCGGGAGGCCTCCTCTCCCAGCCAGCATGTGGCTCCCAGCTGGGCCCAGAGTGTGTGTAGGCAGGAGCCCTGGGCAGGGTGGGGCTTGGGATGCCAGACCAGCAGCAGGCACGACGTGGAGGGGAAGGTGGGAGCTGGCCCTGCCCGCTGGGTTTTATCAGTGAGCTCTTCAGACATATACAGAGGCGAGGCTGTGTATACACTCGCAGTCCCCGCGCTCCATCTGTCTCCCCGCATGTCTAAACAGTGAGGGCGCCAAGTGCCTGCTCTCCTCCTTCTCCTCCTCCTCATCCTCCTCCTCCTCCGCTCGCCCCCATTACTGCGGGAGGTGGTAGACACTCCATACCCCTGAGGAGACAGGACCAGCCAAGGTAAGAGGGTTTGCCTCAGGAGTTCGCTGCTGGGTGAGGGAGAGGTCCTCAGAGCCCCAGAGGCTGGGGGTTAGGGGGAGGAGGCGGGAGCCAGTCTCTGGCTGTCCAATCTGGATACAAAGCCGAGGGGGTTAGCTTACAGAGGAAAACTGAGATTTGGGGCAAGAATTTTCGCTTGAAATCAGCTTTCTGGATGCCATCGCATGGGCAGCAGAACTTTGGTTGTCTTCAGTTATCGAAAGAAGTTCATCAGTCGGACGTGCAGGCTGAGTGGGCAGCCCGAAAGCCCATCCTGCTCTCCCCTAGCGTTCCCCTCCCCGCCGTGCCCAGCCCTGGCCCAGCCCGTCCCCTCTCCGGCAGCCTGCAGCCCGGGTTTGTAGCCTGGGCTGCCCGAGGCCCAAGGCTCCTCCAGAGGCAACAGCTAGCGCGGTGGGGAAGGAGGGGCGCTACCTGGCGAGGGCAGATGCAGAGAGGACCCTAAATGCCCGTGGAGATGGGCTCAGGGCCTTTGTAACATTCCTGGGAGGCTGTCTCCTCCCCTCCCCCAGGGGGGAAGAAATGGAAGTGAGGGTTCTCCCCACATCTCCTTCGATCTTGGGACATGACAGTGTCCAAAAGGTGCCGTTCCCCTCAAAGGGTAGCTTCCTTCCGGCCACTACGGGAGCCCGAGCGGAGCACATGGATATGGACGTCCCCTCTCTGTGACTCTGTCCCCCACGGAACACGTGGTGTCTCCTCTGCCCGCAGTGGTGCCCAAGGAAGGCGGGGAGGGAGGGGGGGAGGGAATAGTTTTTGCTGGCCTCCCACCACCTCCATACACAGAAAACCCTCTAGGCCTTCGGAGGTTTGCCCGGAGCAGGGGTGCAGGCTGGTCCTGGTGGCCTCCCCTGTACTTCGTTGGTGACCAAGAGGGACCACCAGACCCTCCCTGCCCAGCCATCCCTGCTGTCTCTGCGCGTTGAGCACTGAGGCAGGCCGGGCAGGAGGTGGCTCCTGGGGCCCGGAGGTGGTCTCAGTGGGTCACTGGTGTATGTCTCTCATGCCTCCAGTGAGCACCACTCTGTCATCCTGGTCGGGGCACGCCCGGAAGTGCAACGAGACAGCCAAGTCCTATTGTGTCAACGGAGGCGTCTGCTACTACATCGAGGGCATCAACCAGCTCTCCTGCAAGTAAGTGGCCGGTGGGGGCGGGCGTGGGGGCAAACGCAGGGTGAGACAGGCTGGGGCAGAAGTGGAGGGCTCTAGGAAAAGTGGGCTTCCAGCCACTAACACGGGGTCCCCAAGGAGTGTAGTCAGGGAGGTATGCCCCCTTTCCTGGAACCCAGGGAGATGTCAGCGCTACAGGGCTCAGGGCTTCTGCAGTCCCAGGTTCCCAGGCCCTCCCCTCTCATCTCCTGATGTCCACCCCTTCACCAGCACCTTCCAGGATGATGAGGAGGCCAGTCGTGACCTGGGTTCTGGGCTTGTTTTCTCTCTCTGCCTCCCTCTCTCTCTCTCCCTCTCTCTCTCTCTCTCTCTCTCCCTCTTTCTCCCCCTCCCCATTGCTCAGCAACTCTCCAAATGCTGTTCTGATAAACGTTCCCCAGGGTGTGTGTTCCCAGCAGCCAGGAGCCAGGCAGTGTGAGTCCCAGAGCCCTTCGGAGAGGAGGAGGCTCTGTCCCCAGTGCTGGCCTCAGGACCTGGCTACTCTCCCTGCCTGGCAGGACCCCACTCTCCAGATGTGCCCTGGGTGCTGCCTGGCCCTAGTCCCTCTCTATGGGGTGAAGGGACTCCAGTGGGGACACCACTCTGGGTGTGACCCAAAGGGGGAGGTCAGGGTTGAAGAGCTCAAGCTGGGCTTTCTGTGCCTCCCCACGGACAGAACTACTCTCCAGCCAGACAGGGCCGCCTCAGGAGGACTCCCAGGAGCTTAGAACCACCTGTTCCACTCACACACAGGGCAAGCGGGCATGAGCATCACAGAGGGCTTGTTCAGGCCCAGCAGCTGGACCCACAGCGCCCTCTTGATAGAGGAGGAGGAAACAGAGGAGGAGGAGGAGGAGTGGCTGGTGAGGGTAGCACAGGTTCTGGCTGGATCCTCAGGAGTAGGAGGGAGATCTAGTTATCAACTTTGGGTTTTCAAAGCAGCCCAAGGCTAGGGCCTGGCAAGGTGCCAAAGCTGCCCCATTCCCATGGCATTTGGGCAAAGGCCACCAGAGTATCGATGGAGATTCCGAGAGAGGCGTGTGCCCTCCCCACAGACAAGTCAGATTCAGCATTCCTCAGCTCTCCTGTTCTCCCTCCTGGCTACAGCCCTAGCCCGGGACTCTCAAAGACCACCCCCTCACACACAAAGGGATAACAGAAGGTTATGCCTCCTTCACACTCTCCCAAGGCGCTGGGCCAGCGTGGCCTGGGCTGCCAGGCAGATCTGTGCCTCTCACCTCAGCTGGCCTCCTTTGCTGGCTTCCTCCCTGGTTCCACCCTTCACCTGCTGCCATCCCCTTCCCGTCCCCCCATCCTGAATCACAGGGGACAGTCCCAATGGCAACAGCAGGTCCCCCAGGGAAGTTCCCAGCCCAGGCTCAGCCCCTCATCCTTTCCCTCACTCTGCCTCTAAGAGGCTGCCACATTGGTTCTACAGACCCTGGGGAGCATTCTAGCCTTGATAGTGCTCTGAGCTCTTGGGAATAGACCTATAGACATTCAGAGGGTTCTGGAAAACCTCCCAGAGACAGCCTACCCTTGTGCCCTCCATGCTTACCACCCTCACCCCAGTACACACACACTAGTCGTCTCTTCCTTCGCCCCTTGGACCCTAGAGTCTTGAAGGGTTCCAGCAGTGGCACTGAAGTCAGCCCTGGCTCCAGGGAGGGAAGGTTTCAGCCCCCCAGGGCAGATGCTGGGGCTGAGGAGGGCTTTGGGGCCCAGGACTTCAGCGCTAGAGAGTTTAGTGTGGGGAGGAGAAGGATGAGCTCATGGGTTCCCAGAGGGTCCTGCCATCAAGGCTGTGCCCTTTAGAACCCTCTGGGTCCCACCCAGCTCCATCTGAGAGGAACAGAGGGCAGGAGCCTGAGCCATTGTGAAGATAATGTCCTGTGTCCCCTCCTCACCAGGACAACTGGGGTCACTGCTTAGCACCTGAACCTGGTACCCGGAATCACCACCTCCCCATCTCAACCTGCCCTGGAACCCACTTCCCTGACTCCCTGAGCCCTTGAGGGAGCCGGGCATCCCTGGCGGGGATTTCGCCAGGAAAGCAGGTCCTCAGAGCTGTGCTGGAGAAGGACAGGGGGGAGGGGGCCGGGCAGAGCCCAGAGGCCACTCTGGGGGCGGGTAGGCGGGGAGGGGAGGGGGGCAGGCCTCGTGGGGTTCCTGATGACACCTGAATGGAATAAAAAAGAGGAGGAGAGAACTCAGGAAATGGGACTCACGTCTTACCATTTGTGCTGTTTGTTTACTTTTTATTTTGATTTTTTTGCATTTCCGCTTAGCTTGGATAATGAAACTAGACTGGTCAGTTTCATTCCAGTTTCTATAAAAATCCGTTTTCCTTCCTGGTTTTCTGACCCTTGTTGTTGTGTATCGGTTCAGAGCCCTGCAGGGAGCGTTGCAAAGCAGGCACGCTCCCCCCGCCCCCCTCCTGTTTTTGTGGAATTCAAAGCCAAAAGCTTAAACAGTGTCACTGATGCTGAATTTTGTTCTCAAAAAGAAAAGCTTAGGGGGATTGGAAAATGGGGGTGTCAAATCAAGGGGACTGCCTCCTGTCTGGGCCAGACAGGGGCCCCGGCACTTCCTCTTGCTGCTTTCTCCTCTTCTCTTCGTGTTTTGTAGAGCACGGTTGGTGCGTGACTCTTGGGGACTGGTTCAGGGGATGATGACAGAACAAGACTCTCTTTCCAGCCCTGTGCACATACCAGCGGCATGCCTCCCTTCCCATCAGCTCATCCCCCCATTCCTTCTGCTCCCCCACCCCATTTCCAGGTGATTTCCCCCATCCCATACCCATGTGCCTGCTCATCCCCTCCACATCGCCACCCCACCCCTCATGAGGCCAGAGCCCCTTCCCTTCCTCCAGTGCCGGGGCGCACCCTCATCCTTCATCCTCCCCCTCCCCTGGGTGAGGGCAGCACACATGGCATTATCCCCAGGCTACCAAAAGGAGAGACTGAGGCCAGGGAGCTGGGGTGGGGAAACAGGGAGGCAGTGTCCCAACCTCCCTGTCCCCCTAGATACAGCCCAAGGGCTCTCCTCTCTGCCCCTCTCTCACCCCTGCTCTTCTCCGGCCCTGGGCACAGGCCTTTCCATAGTCATAGAGGATGATTTAGGAGGAAAGACTAGGAAGACTGCTCCCTGCTGTTCCTTCTAATCTGTCCCCTGTGCTTCTGTGCCAGGTCAATCCCTGTTGGAGTGGGAACTGCTAGCTACCCACTTGCACTGAGTTCAGACCCCTCCTGGGTGATAGGCTACCATAGCTAGACCCTGCTACCTGGTCTTGGGTGCAGGGTAGGAAGGCTGTAGGCTCCGTCCCATGAACCTTCTCTAGGGAAACCCAGCCTCCTAGATGCAGTTCACCCTCAATAAGCAAGGCTAAAGGGAACGGAAGTGTCCAGGAGCCCGCCTCCTCCTCCCCCACATCGCCACCGAGGAGCCAGTGCCCAAAGAATAGCATGTCCTCCCACCCCCACACTGTGCCCATCCTCCCACTGCCAGCGGGGAACACACTTTCCCCGGCAGGAAAGTTAGGGCCATATTGCACAACTCCAGGGGCATGTTCATGCTGTAGACCATTTCCACAGCACCACCTTGAGTTGTGCAACTCAGTGGCCACAAAAGAGATGAGGATACAGTTGGGTTAGTCCAGGCTGAGTGTGGGACCAGGGACATAGGGATGTGCTGTTATCATTGGTCTCCAAGAGCATCCCAGGGATAGCATTCCTAGCACAGTAACGTCAAATTCTCCCAGTATTGGGAATAAATGTCCCCTCTGCTTCTTCCTGTCCCTGCACTGCCCCCCCGCATCTCTCTAACACACACACACACACACACACACACACACACACACACACATACACATTTTCCCTGTCTCCAGGAGCCGGACTAATCTCAGACATTGGACACAGGCAAACATATTTTTCTTGTTCCTTTGCAAATTCCAAAAGTCATTTGGGCAAGTTCCTGGGTCTTTATCCTCCACCTCCAAAGGTGCTGCTGCTTAAAAAAATCACTCCCCCCCCCCTTTAAGTCCCCATCCCAAGTGGACACAGTCTGAGAGCTGAGGAAGAAGAGCTGCACCTGACTGGAGCTGGTTGGAAAGCCTTAGTCTTAGCCTTAGCCAAGACCTCCATTTGCCTGGGCTGGAATGGTTGAGGATGAGGGCCAAGGACCAGAGAAGGAGGTATTGACAGGTGGTAGCCTGCTCCTCTCAGCCACCCTGTTCAACAGGATGAGTTACGTCAAGTTCACTTACAGCCCCCCTCCCACTTTCTCCAGACACACTTTCCAGCCATCCTCCACCGCCCATTGGCCAGGTATACCTGCACACACACTGCCACTACCGCAGGGACCAGCCTCCTGCCTCCCAGAGGGAGACAATGTCAGGGCCCAGAGAAACTCTGCTACCTGCTCACCATCCACTCCCAATCCTCCAGGCCAGGTTGAGGGCCAAAGTGTTTTCTTAAGACACCACAGCCAATGGCCAGCACCTCCTCCTATAAGCTTAAGAGGCTCCTGATGATTTGTATACACTAGAATGCTGGGAGGTAGAGTACACTCACCTCTTGATTAATGTTAAACAGGGACCTATGATTGAGGAGACACTGGTGATGGGCTGACCTGGTTTCCTAAGGAAGGAGAGGCGAGGCAGATAGACCCACCACTGAGCAGGGTGTGAAGGTCAGTCTGGCCCTGTCTGTAAGCCTCCCTGAGGTCTCTCTGGCCTCGTTGTGGTTCAGGAGAGAGTACAGGGCTGGGCATGTCTCCCAGAAATCTGCAAGACAGGGACTCACTTGAGGGGAGAGTGGCAGCCAAGAGCAGAAGGAAGTACACCTGGGAGGAAGGGCAAGGCCAGGGAGCTGGGAGTGGGTGGTGCTTTGCAGCTACAGAGGAGGCAACATGGGAGAATGAGTGCCCACCAGAGCCAAGCAAGGATGGAGATGCAGGTCACGGGGGAAAAGGCAGGTGTGCCAGGCAGCCAGTAGGGTCCCCAGGGAGCCTATGCCAGCTCCCACCATAGTATTTGCCACCGAAGGCCAGCTTTGGGATGCTGGTAATTCTGGCTCTTCTCTAGCCTCCCCCTGTTCCCCACGTATACTACTCTAGGGCAGCCTTCCCCAAATAGGGTTACAAGGATTCCTCAAAAAGAGACTTCCGTGGTCAAATAATTTGGGACGTACTGGAGAATCCGGTTCTTTCCTACATGGTTTTGCATAGCCTTTCACATACCGGCGTGCACTGAGGCTCTGCAGGGAAGCTTGGGGATGGATTTCCCAAACTTATTTGGCCATAGAACCCTCTTCCAGAGAAGAGAGGAGGTACGTCCAGGCCCCTTTTGTCATGAATCCACAGTCTGGGAACATTATGCTGGAGTTCTCCTCGGAGCTTTCTGGAGCTGTTTCATGGATGAGAAAACCTGCCCAGAGCTCTGGAGAGAACCCACGGGTAGGGCCTAGAAGAAATGACTCCCAACGTGGTGTTCCAGAAGAGTCCCAGCACCCTGCCTGCTGACTGCCTGGCACTGAGGGGCTGCCGTTCTGGCTTCCTGGGGCCCAGGCAGGGCAGAAGGGAAGTCTCAAGGACCATTAGGACAATCAGGCAGTGAGTTCCCAATTTCCCCACCCTGCTTCCCTGTATCATCCTCCTCCCCGCCCCCCTCCCCTCCCCACCTTCCACGGAGCCACATCTAGTAGTCAGATTGTGCAGGAGATTTCCGAGCCCTCCACCCAGCCCTGACCCCGGCCCCTTTTGCGATAAGTGTGCCCCAGCGCCCGACTTGGTTTTCTCATTCATCACTGTGCACTTTGATTTCTAACCTGAGCCTCGCGGATGATGCCAGTTTGTTCTGTGATTTTTCCCCTTTTCCTTCTCCAGATGTCCAAACGGATTCTTCGGACAGAGATGTTTGGAGAAACTGCCTTTGCGATTGTACATGCCAGATCCTAAGCAAAGTATGTTTGAAGATACAAACACGAGTCCCCGCTCCTTAGAAAGCTTCCGGGTGCAGTCCCCCCCACCTCCTGACGTAGGGCGTAGGGCCAGGGGTGTTGGTTGTTTTGATCTTTGGCTGTTTTGTTTTGTTTCTCTTTTCTTTTCTGTATTTTGTTTTGTTAGTTCTTTTGTTTTGTTTTGTTTTGTTTTGCTTTGTTTTTCATTTTTTTTGGCCTACTCCTTGGGTTTAAAGTTCAGGGCTACAGGTAAGGGGCATAGTGGCAAGGCCAGTACAAATGGTAACATTGGCAAGGAACCCAGCTGGCATGGGCAGGAGCCATGCCAGGGTGTTGCAATGCCTGTGTCTTGCTATCCTGGCTCTCTCTTTCTGGTTTTCTTTCTTTTGGTAGGTGTCCTGTGGGATACACCGGGGACAGGTGTCAGCAGTTCGCAATGGTCAACTTCTCCAGTATGTCTCTTTCTTCTATTTCCTTTCTTCCCTGGTGACTGACAGTCCCCCCTGTGGGAGGGGTGGGGCCTTGCTGAGCAAGACTAGGGGTGTGGGGGGGGGACACAGGGGTGCCCTGGGCTCCTCTCAGCCTTCAGTGCTTATAAGAAGCCTGTGCCGAGGAGACCCACACACCCCTGCCACCCCCACTCTGCATCGCTGAACTGCCTGGGCGCAGTAAGGCCTCATTCTCCCTGCAGCCGGCCAGAGCCCCGCTGCGGTGGGGCAGCCTGGCCAGCTGAGGAAGAAGCATTTGCAGAGCCCTCGCCTGCTTCCGAAGGCCTGTTTGAGGTCAGGCTGCCTCTGGGGCCGCGCAGTGAGTGTGTACACGTGTGTGCTGGTGTGCGTGACGGAAGCGAGTCCTCGGAAAGCCTGTCTTCGGGTCAGGCCAGAGTTGGTTTTGGTTTGGTTTTCGGGGGGTTGGAGAAGGGGGGTTGAGGGAGAACAGGTCCCAAAAGTCAATAATGTCCATGATGACCAGAGACTGGAGACATTTACGTGGCTACAGGATGGGGTGGGCGTTGAAGCGGAAGCTAAAAGATAGAAGAGCTGAGGAATCGAGAGATAACTGGTGATTTCCTCCAGGCCCTCTCTGGTCTGAGTCCCCATCCAGGTGTTCATTCCTTTTTTATTCTTCCACTTCTGAGGTTGGAGCTTTCTGGTGTACATGGTTTGCTAAAAAAATAAAAAAATAAAATAACAACAACAACAATAATAATAATAATAATAATGTCAGTCCTGTGGCTTAAGGATGAGGCCATAATTGTGGTTTTATTTGGAGCTGGGAGCAGTTCCCTTCAAGTACCACCAGATGGAGGTGAAGCAGAGCAAAAGGCCACAGGCTGGCCATGGACTCTGTTTGGGGTCTGGTGGTCCGTTGGCCTGCAAGCAGGACATCCTCCTAGCACACAGGCCCCTGCTTGCTCCCCCTCTACAGGGAGGACAGTGGGGTCCCAGGAGGACTTAGGAACCACAGTGATGGGCCAGGACATGGGCAGCTAACGTTCAGGAGGCTATTGAGATAGCCCTGGGAAAAAGGGGGTCCGGGTCCTCGGGCCACAGCACAATAGCCTAGAATGTGCTACCTTCTCCCTCCCCTTCTAGGAGCCTGGAAGCCAAGTCTTGGAGAGGAAAGTAGAGGCCCCAGGGAGGTAAGGGCTGGTCGGCCCAGATGGTCAGCTATCTTAATAGAGTGTGGGAGGCAGCGCTCTCCCCAAGCTCCTCCAGTTGCAGGTCAGAGAGGAAGGCCATGGGGATAAGAACAGCCTGTGGGCAGGGCATGTGGCCCAACAGAATTCTCCAGAGCACAAGCTCCAGGAAGAAATGCAGAGTCAGATCCAGCGCATTGGAGGGCCTTGGGGAGGGGGGGGCGGGTGGCCTCAGGAGGGGCAGAGCAGCCAGGCAGAGGCTCAGCACCAGGGAGAGAGGCAGTGAGTCCTATTCCTCTTCACCTTTAGGTCCAGAGCCTCCCTGGGTTACGGGACAGTTCTGGACAGGGAGTCCCAGCCCATCCTGAGTCAGAGCAGCAGAACTCGGCCACCGGCCAAGCTTCTCTGCCAGCTGGGCCGCTTCAGCTTTCAGCTCGGATCTGCCGGGAGGGTCAGCAAAGTCTCAGGAGCTCAGAAAGGAGCCTGGAAATGCAGCCCCAGGCCTTCCTGCCTAGAGCTATTGGAATCGCTGCTGGTACCTTGCTGGTTTGGGGTAAAGGAGTTATACTTCTCAAGCACTTTGCCCCGAGCGCTTCATGCAGTGCTCGATCAGATCATTATTAAAAAGGTAGCGGGTGATGCTAGTTGGAGTGTTCAGGCTTTGGTTTCAGAGAGACCTGAACAAAAATGCCAGCTGCTGAGCTTGCTAGTTCTGAAGCCTCACCTAACCTCTCTGCGCTTGTTTTTGTATCTGTAAAATGGGGACTAACAATTCTGCCTGTAGGGTTGCTCTTAGGGTGAAATTATGTGAAGGGCTTGGCAGAGAGCCCGCCATGACTGTTTGAGTGCAGGTTAGGCATCAGCCCCCTGGAGGCTGACTCCGGCATGTCCTGAGCGCAGTGTCTGTCTGCCCAGAGCCTCTAGACGAGGCTACTTCTTGCAGAAGCCACAGAATCAGAGCCTCTGGTCACAATAGCACCCTGAAGCTTCTCTTCTTCCACTGACAGCCCCTCTACTTCCCAAGAGTCAAAACTGTGCATATATATATATATATCAACCCCGTGTAAAAGAGCACACTCACCTGCAGATATGTGAACACACACACAGCATGTGCTCTGGAGCCCACATCATGGCCCCCTTGTTCAGGTCTCTGTGACTGTGTATCATAGGACATGCCCAGGATAAGGACCTTGCATATTGCCTATGAAGCCTGGCCCTATTGGAACGCTAGCACCAGGTTGCCATGGTCACTGGTCAATATGAAGTTTCTACTCAATAGGACCTGTCTGTGACTCAGTGTTGCCGCTTTTCTTGTCTGAGTGGCATCCAGTGAGCACGACAAGTGGGACACAGTTTTTCTTTGTTGGGGCTAGGCTATCTAGCCACAGGCCCCTCGGCATCCATACCCAGTGAGAGGGAAGCAGGACTGCCTTCCTGGTGACTGGCCAATCCCTCAGTGACATCACCAGCCACCACTGGTCCATCCTAAACAGTACTGGCCTTTGACTCAAAGGGGAGGGCAGTCAGGAGACCCAGAAGCTGCTGTTACTGCTACCGCTGGGCTCCTAGAGGAGGGGAGCCCAAGAAAACTCCAGAACGGCTTTGGGAGCCCTGCTCCTTCTCCAGGTGGTCACTGCCTTAGGACTAGCTAGTCAGGCCTTCCCAGAGACCCAGTGGCCAGAACAGCCATGGGTTAGCCCCAAGAGACTGGAGGCCAGGCTAGCTCTACGGACCAGTCTTCTTCGTGTCCCAGGTGCTGTGGTCAAGCTAGGCAGGTCTCTCTCAGGAGGCATGGCTGGTTATCTAGACTGTGAGCTCTCTCAAGCTGCCTGCAAGGTCCCTGGGGCCAGAGATTTAACCACTCAGGGAAAGCTGCCCCCAAGGATCTGAGTTTGTCAAGGTTGTACTGTCTCCTTAGCCCGGGGAAAGGTGTGGACTCACTGTGTTCATGCTGACTCTTTTTTTTTTTTAATATATTTTATTGATTTTTGTACAGAGAGGAAGGGAGAGAGATAAGAGTTGGAAACATCGATGAGAGAGAATCATCGATCAGCTGCCTCTTGCACACGCCCCACTGGGGATATGCCCCCAACCAAGGTACATGCCCTTGATCGGAATCGAACCCATGTCCCTTCAGTCCCCAAGCCGACACTCTATCCACTGAGCCAAACCGGTTTCGGCCATGCTGACTCTTACATAAGGTGACCAGACTTCCTGCTTTTGTCGGGACAGTCCCAATTTTTAATAATTTGTCCCACATCCCGCAACGTTTTAAAAAAAAAAAAGTCCCAATCTTTCCAAAACTCAAAGCACAAGTTCACCTGCTCCCTGATCTACTGAGTGCATTGGGGAGGCCATGGTGTGGGCCTGCACCTGTGCTGAGCCACAGGCTGACATGGCCTTCTCACCTCTGAGCCCTCACTGTGTGCAGGCACTTTCGACAAATGAGCAAAGATTATGACTTGTCCACATCCACACAGCAAATTAGAGGTAAAACTGAGCCTTGAGGCCTGCAGACAGGAATTGGCTGTAACATGAGAATAGTAGGCGAGCTTTTCAAAAAACGCTGTTGAGATTTCTGGGCTCCCGCCCCAGACCCTGATTTCAGTGATCTGGAGGATTCTGAAGCACAGCCAGGTTGCAAACTACCCAGATATGCCATGGTCAGGCCTAACCCCCATTTAACAGATAAGAGACTGCGAGCTAGACAGTCTGGGCATGCTTGGGCTCACCCCTCAGGCCAGGCTCTCTGACCTAACCCTCGTATGGTATGCTGCACAATTGCAATACGATCCCACTTTAAAGAATGCAGTTGGCCCACCACTTAAGGGGCACAGGTGTTCCACAAGTGAGCCCACTTGTCTCTCAGTGTTATAGTTTGCTTTGCTACATTGTGAAATCAGGCTCGGACCCTGAGGCCCAGTCCCTATAGGCTTCTAGGGTGTTGGGGGTGCCACGTGGAGAAGTGACCTGCCACTTGGAGCCTTCTCCCCTCCTCACTCCTGCTCCCCACAAATTCCGAGTGTAAGTGCATGGGCTCCTGGTAGATGGGCAGCCAGCTGAGCCTGGGGGCAGGACAGAGACAAGGGGCCAGTCTGGGAGTCCTGCCCACCCATCATTCTGAACATGGAGGAGCTCGGGTTGGAGCAAGCTGTTCCCAGGAGGGGCTTGAGAGTGCCGAAGGCCTGGTGCTGCAGCTGGGAGGGGGAGCTGCAGACTCTGGATCCCCGTCCCCACTCAGCTTTCCTCCTCGGGGACACATGCCAGCTGCCTCTCACCAGGTACTAACCCCACAGTTCATCTCTAAAGAACCTGCCCTGCCTGCCGAGCCAACATTTCCTCTCTCCACCCCTTCAGGGGTCTTGGGGATGGGGTGCCAGGGAAAGGGCTCAGGAAGCTGGGAGGGGACACCACTAACCTGCTTTCACCTCACAGGCTGGCTGCTGGTGTCTGAAGAGTCCTGACCAACGTTTCTCTCTCTCTCTCTTTCTCCCTTGCCCCACCCTCACCATCTATCTCTGTATCTCTCCCTCCACCCCTTCCCCTCTCTGACCCTCCTCTCTTCTGCACTGCCAGAGCACCTTGGATTTGAACTAAAGGGTATGGAGCCTTCATTTTATCACTACGTCCCATCCACACAGCCCATCTCCGCAGCCTCTGACACCGTGTGTGCTGGATGTTTGGCTTCCTTTCCAAAACAAGGGAAAAGGATGATTCCAAAATTCTCCTCTGGCCCCACCAAGATGTCCAATCATAAACTACTTTTGTCTGGGGGAGATGAGGCGCTCATGAAAAGCAGGGCATCCTGGGAAACACACAGCAGCCTCAGCATATGGCAGCATCCCTCTGCCTGGGGCTGATGGGTAGGAGAGCCGGAGTCCGGAAGCCACGCATCTTGGTTTGGAGAGCTGTGAAGAAAGGCAGCACTTTCCACCTAACCTTAATCCCCCTTCCTTCTCCCATCTCCATCTCCATTGCTTCTCATCTCTGCCCTGTGCCCTGGGTCTGCCAGGCGTTGCCATCTGCTTGAGGCTGTCACTCCCTCCATGATCCACCCCCACCATGGCACGCGTGTTCATCTGGAAGCAAGGGTCTGGGGTGGGCCAGCCTCTAGTTTAGAGCCTGCCCCCCGTGCCCCCGGGGGGAAAAGCTCTCCTCCCTCCCACTCGTGTGTTCTGGCTCCTGGAGGACACCTCGGATGGGAAGGGGCTTGAGGGTCGGTCTGTCCAGCTCTCTGGCTTGGGTTGGGAGGCTCCACCCTGCAAGCGCCCAGACGTTTTGTAGCAGGAGAGGGGGGCGGGCGGTGCTCAGAGGGGCTAAGGCTTCTGTGCTGTCAGATTGCAAATGTGGTGTGAAGCCTACTGTCGTGAAAAGGCTGTTCTGGTGGCAGGTTTGGGGAGGCCCCAGTGTCCCCACCACCCAACCCCTATCGGCTGTTCTCAGTAGAAGCTAGAGCTACAAGTCTGTGTGCAGTAGTGTGCCTGTCTGTTGACTGTGACGGGTGGGGAGGAGAGAGGCTGAGTCTGGGTCGTGTGTGTGGTGGTGGCAGAGTGCATGGGGTGACTCTGTAGGGGTGCCCAGGGGTGAATCTATAGGGTTGCGCGCGCGCGCGTGTGTGTGTGTGTGTGTGTGTGTGTGTGTGTGTGTGAGGGTGCAAGTGTTTTCAGTGGTCGGCAAACTCATTAGTCAACAGAGCCAAACATTAACAGTATAACGACTGAAATTTCTTTTGAGAGCCAACATTTTTAAATTTAAATTTCTTCTAACGCCACTTCTTCAAAATAGACTCACCCAAGCCATGGTATCTTGTGGACGAGCCACACTCAAGGGGCCAAAGAGCCGCATGTGGCTCTCGATTCGCAGGTTGCCAACCACTGGGTTAGGTCTCTGTGCAGGATGTGAGTACCTGGAAGCGGGCAGTGGATACCTTGGTGTTAAGGTTGAGTGTGTGCAGTTGAAACTGTGAGGGTGTGGAGGTGTCATATGTAAATGTGTGTCTGTGTCCTTCACAGCTGTCTGTGCACTCCTTCCCTCACCAACTCAACAAGCATCTGCTGACCCTGGGATTTGCCAGAGTCTGGCGATCTGGCACGGCGTCCCTACCTTTCTGGTGCTGATTCACAGGATGAGACAGACAGTAAGACAAACTGGACAGCTATCAGGAGTGCTCAGTGCTATCCAGAAAATAAGATAATGGGATAGCGCCTACTTTAGCTAAACGGTCAAGGAAGGCTTGTCCAATGAGGTGACATTCAATGACATGAAAAGTAGCCAATCCTGCAAACACTTGGGGGAGAATGTCTGAGGCAGGGCCATGGCAAGGCAGGAGGAGAGGGCCTCATGCAATGGACACAAGACTGCCAGCGACTCTGGAGCTTAGTGGACATGGGGAAGAGGACCACAGGTGAGAGCTGAGAGGAAGAGTGGAGCCAGGTAACCTGGGCCTCACAGGCCATGGTAAGGTTTTGATTGGTATTTAAGTTGCAGTGGAAAGTATTGTGAGAAGCAAAGTGCTTTATGGCAGTAGATCAGTATGGCTTTTGGCTGGAGAACAGATGAGGTTGCGGGAGAGGCGGAGAGGAGTGGAAGCAGAGAAACCAGCCGGCTGTCCAGGTGAGAGATGGCATCATCTTGGACTAAGCTGGCAGCAGTGGAAATGGTGAGAAGTGGTCAGAACCAGCATCTACTGGGGAGGCAGAGCTGAGGACTTGCTGATGGATTGGGTGCCAGTGTAGGTGGGAAGGCGGGGAGCAATCAGAGATGATTTGGGGCCTGAGAAACAAGAAAGTTGTGGTTTCCACTGAAGAGATGGGAAGAGCAGGGAGCAGCTTTGGAGAGATGGGGGATCAATGCTTGTGCCAGGCCATGGCCCTTGGGTATAGGTGTCTGGAGCTCAGAGAGAAGTCAACGCAGGAGATAAATATTTGAGAGTCAGCTGCATAGAGATGGCATTTAAAGTCTGGGTGAGATCACAAAGGGAGAGAGGGCAGGTGAAGGAAATAAAAGAAGCCTGAGAGGCCTTCTGCACCACAGCCCACAGAGAAGACAGAGGCTTCTATGACAGAGGCCACCCAGTGAAGGGGGAGGCAACCCTGGAGCCCAGCAGGGGAGTGGACCCAGCAAGGGAGTCAGCTAAGAGGTGGTCAGTGACCCCGACCAGGGTGGCTTCAGAGGAGGGATGGAGACAGATGTCTGACCTGAGAGGACTGAGGGATGACAGTGATGACAACTGGAGGCAGGACACCGACCCCAGAGCCCCGAGATGATCGTGTGTAGGCAGACATGATTGCACGTGCACATGCATGTGCGTGTGCATATGTGCTGCTCTGGATGTGTGTGAATGCATCTTTGTGAAGAGGGTCTGACTGTGTCTCAGACAGGCATGGTCCCACAGGTATGTGTGTCCAGAGGGTTGCTCCCAGGTGTCTGCAGATGGGTGTACCTTTGCCACAGGAGGTGCAGCAAGCCCGAGGGCTTAGGGAAGTTTCCCGGGGTTCCACCAAGGCCTTCGGGGCCAGCCTTCCCTTTTCCCTGTGCTGGCAAGAGAGGACCGATGTGGAAGGGCCAGCCAGTAGGTGCGGCTGGGGCAGGCGAGATGTCTAGGCTATATGTCTTGACTATGGCTGGTACTGTCACCTTCTCCCTTTCCTTCCTCCTGCTTTCTCTGTTCTAGGGTAGAGGGCACGCCACCACGGAGTGGGAGGTGGAGGAGCTAGTCGGGTCGTTCTGAGGCCTGGCCTAGCTCAGCCGCTCAGAAAGGGTGGGGCTGTGCCTGGAGCATGACTGTCCTGAAGCACGGGCTGTGCTGCCCCTGGTGGCCTTCTCACATTCACCGATGGGGAGGGCTGGCTCAGGCAGGGCTGCAACCCTGGCCTGGCTGCAAGGGTGAGCGAAGGCCTTTCCCCGAGGGCCTGATCTGTTCTGCCCAACCTCTGGGTCAGAGGTCCTGTCACCAGCCCAAAACAAACCACTCTCCATCTTTGTAGAGAAGCTGCAGTAGCAGGCCAGGCCTCTGCCCAGGGTTGCCATGTTTGTCACCATTAAGAACAGCTTCCCCAGCCCGTCAAGGCCATAGTGGGACAGGGCAGGGCTGCTGACCAAGCTGGGTTGCCCTCCTCTATGGCCTTGGGGCTTCGCCTCCATCCCCGCATCCCGCTGCATTCTCCACTCACGTGCCTCGGGCAGGGTGCGGGGTTTGGGAAGGTGAATACGGGCATAGTCACTTGTGCCCAGATCCATGGTGGGTGGAGTTCCGGGGAGCAGAAGGCAATGGGGGGGGAGGGAGATGCACAAAGGTAGGAGACTGCTGGGGAGGGGAGGAGGGACAGGAGCCGGGCAGGACCTGAGCTGGAGAGCGCAAGGCTTTGGGGCAGGGGGTGTCTGCGCCACTATCACCACAGGTCCACCTCCTGCCCAGCTTCCTCACATTCCGTGCCTCTGCAGAAGCCGAGGAGCTGTACCAGAAGAGGGTCCTGACTATCACCGGCATCTGCGTGGCTCTGCTTGTCGTGGGCATCGTCTGCGTGGTCGCCTACTGCAAGACCAAGTGAGTGTCGGGCTCTGAGCCGGGCAGGCCATGCCAGGGCTGGGCTCACAGACAGCTTTGTGAGGCCAGGCTCTCCTCCCCCAGCCCGTGGTGCCTGGCCTACCCCCTTCACACCTTCATACCCCAGCTGCCCTCTGCCCTTCCTGTGAGGCCGAAGGGCTGGGCCCAGAGGCAGGAACAGAGGTGGGGGAGGCAGGCCCCAGAGCACTGAACAGGAACGGTTGTGAGCACAGGCATTGTGAGAAGACGGATCTGGATTTGAATCCAGCTCTGCCATTTCCCGGGTGACCCTGAGCAAATGGATGAATCTCTGAGTCCTCCTCTACAAAATGGCAATGATCCTCGGATGTGCCTCAGAGGATGCTCTGAGGGAGCATCTGCCCTGTCACACAGGCACACATGAGGCAGTTTTGGGGGGTGGGGGAGTGCAGAGAGGAAGGATACATTCCCAAGGTAAAAGGAGATCTCACAAGGCAGTGCCTGGTCCCACCTGGGAGCAGGCCAGGCAGGAACGCAGAGAAAGTTGGGTTGGGCCACCCCTAGGCAGCGGAAAGGTGGGAGCAGAACTCAGGGCAAGGGGAGAAAAGGGCAGTTTCAGGAGTCAGTGCAAGCTAAAGACAAATGCAGGAGAGGGTCAGCCATGTTCCTGGAGCATCCGCAGGACTGGCAACTGGCAACCAGACCAGTTGGTGCAAAGGACTGGGGTCACGATAAAATAGCTGGAACCCAGATGGCACCATAGGGTCTCGAATGCCAATCTAGGGAGGCTGTGTTTACCCTGCATGCAATGGGAGCCAACCAAAGTGTAGAGAAATGAAATGCAGAAAAATGACAGGTCTGTCACATTCTTATCTGCAGAGCAAGAGCCTGGGCATAGCCACCATTTGGGGGACTGAGCCCCTGGGTCTTGGACCCTGCTATGCTTACATGGGATCTAAGGCCTGGGTCTTGGACCCTGCTACCCTTATATGGGATCTGAGGCCCTGCCAGCCTCGCTCTGGATGAGTCCAGGACCAGAAAGGTCAGAGGGAGGCATGGAGGGAGTCAAGGAGGGGAGACTGGGCCCAAATAGGAAAATTGAGGTCACAAATTGGGGGGGGGGGGGAGGAAGCAAGCCCCCTGTTCTAACCCCCACGGCACTTCCTCATTTTCTCAAGAAACGTCTTCAATACTTTGTAGACACCAAGCCCTACACCAGGAACATGGCCAGAGCCCTAAGCAGGAGGGCCAGTGTCACAGGACACATTTCAGGAGGACAGGCAGGGTTTCCCCAGAGGAGCATTTGGGCTGGGCCTGAGAGATGAGCAGGAGTCAGCAGGTGAAGAGGAAGAGAGTGAGCTCCTGTTGGCTATAATAGTATGTGCAAAGGCCCAGAGGCCAGAGAGGGCAGCCATAGTGGAGGATCAGAAACAAGCCCTCCAAGACTGCAGCAAGCTGGGCTGGGAAGTGGCCAGGGAGAGACAGAGCTGGGAGGGAAATGGGACCTGAGGGCTGAGGAAGGGTCTACACGGGAGTGACATGATCGGACTGGCTGATTACCATACAAATGTAATGAGCACTTACTATACACCAAAGTGAAGCAGCCCCACAGGCCTCAACTCCCTGACCACAGCGCACTTATTTTCTTCGTAATGCTTTGCTGAAAGTATCTTGTTCGTGTTGTTGTTTATATTAATATGTTGATCACTGGCCTGCCCTGCTGATCTGCAAGCTCTGTGAGGGCAGGGCCCGTGTCTGTCTCCCCTGCTCCAAAACAGCACCTGGCACATAATAAAAAGCCAGTAAACACTAAATGAGCTAATGAATGGATGAGTGGGCCACCGCTGTGCTTGAAGATTTTATTTACCCTTAATCCTTAGGGGTATTTGGGATGGGTAAATGATCACCCCGTTTTACAGATAAGGAAAGTGAAACAAGGAGAATTTATGTAACTCGCCCAGGTTTGCACAGCTAGAAAGTAGTAGAGTTCTACTCTCTCAGCAGAGCCAAACTCATTACTACTCCGCTCGGGTCCTGCTGAACTCAGGCTGGTGGTGATGGTGATGGTGATGGTGATGGTGATGGTGATGGTGATGGTGATGGTGATGGTGATGGTGATGGTGATAGTGTCGGGACAAATTGGAGGGTCCTGGCTGAGCAGGGCAGGAGAGGAGACTCGTCCCGCTGAGGGGGCCATGAGGGGAGTTCACGCATTGGGTAGGGGCATGGCAGGCCAACGCACCCTTCCCCATGTGCAGAAAACAGCGGAAGCAGGTGCACAACCACCTCCGGCAGAACATGTGTCCAGCCCACCAGAACCGAAGCCTGGCCAATGGGCCCAGCCACCCCCGGCTGGACCCCGAGGAGATCCAGATGGCAGATGTGAGTGATGTTCCCAGGTCTCCCTCTGAGCCCTCGCTGCACAGCCAGCCTTCTGGTGCCCCTAAAGGATGGACCAGGACAGCAGCCAGCCCCTCCCATGCTCAGCCTTGCTTGCTAGCCTCATCTTGCCCCACCAGGCTGGCTGGCCTCACTCTGCCCACCTCCTTAAGAAAAGACAGGTGGGGTGGATTTGCAGGGGCCATTGCTGCCCCAATACCAAGCCACTGATCCAGTGGGCAAGCCCCCCCCCCCAAACCTGAAGTTAGTGCTTCACTTCCCCGTTCCCCCCAGAAAGGAGGGCCAACATGGCTACCTGTCACCAATTCCTGCCCAACTCTCTGTTCCAGTATATCTCCAAGAACGTGCCGGCCACAGACCACGTCATCCGAAGGGAAGCCGAGACCACCTTCTCCGGGAGCCACTCCTGTTCTCCGTCCCACCACTGCTCCACAGCCACACCCACTTCCAGCCACAGGTGGGCACCCAAGGTCCCCACAGAGACCTGCAGCCTCCTGTACCTGCGCCCGCACAGCGAGGACCCATGCATCACACACCTGCCTGGGACACACACAACTCCAAGCCAGACTCTGTATGGAACCCAAGGCCAACGTTCATCCCAATAGTCAGGGGACCAGATTCCCTCTTCCTAAACCAGCCCCAGGGGAACAGCAGCATCACTGCTCTCCCACCTAACGTTTAGTGTTGTGAGGACCTCATCAGCGCCACTTTCTCTGGCATAAAGTGACAACTCACTCCACTGCCCCGAGCTATTAAATGCCCCCTCCTGGGTTTGCCCACAGGAACCTAGTCCTCCTTTTGTCCGGAGGTGGGGAAGACTGTCCACACAAGCACAGAGGCTCACACAGCTCAGAAATACGTGGCCCTGTTCTTCCCTGGGCACCAGCATGGCAGAGGCAGGCTCCCTTGTACTGGCCCCTGGGGCTGAGCTTCTGAGATTGGTGCATGGGAGTGGGAGAGCCAAGCCTGGGGTGGGGGGTTGCAAGGAGGAAAGGAAGAGGCCTGTGCATGCTGCAGTTCACCCATCCACAGGCCCCAGCCCTCCTTCTCCCCATGCTGGGGTGGGGCATTTGTGATACTACACATCACCCCCGAGTGGAAAAGGGAAGTGAGCTGGGGGAGCCTGAGATGGAATGAAGAACAGGGAGGGGAGGGGCCTAGGACCATATCTGCTGTGCTGCCTTGCCCCTTTCTGACCCCCACCTCCATTCCTGGCTTCTTCAGGCATGAGAGCCACACATGGAGCCTGGAACGTTCTGAGAGCCTGACCTCCGACTCGCAGTCGGGCATCATGCTGTCATCAGTGGGGACCAGCAAGTGCAACAGCCCAGCATGCGTGGAGGCCCGGGCACGGCGGGCAGCAGCCTACAGCCTGGAAGAGCAGCGCAGGGCCACCATGCCACCTTACCATGACTCCATAGACTCCCTGCGTGACTCCCCACACAGCGAGAGGTCAGTTCCTACCTCGTGACCTATGTCCCCCTTGGCCAGAGAGCTGGCACCGCTGACCAGGGCTGTCCCTTACAGCACCTCACAGACATTCCAAAGAGTTTCATCCCCAGTCTCGCATCTGCTCAGTTTCATCACCACGTTAATGACACACTAGGTCTAGAGCTGGGCCCGGTGAACCCTGGTGTGCAGTGACCATCTAGTTTAATTGTCCTCCCTTTTCAGAGTAGAAGAGGGAGTTAATAATTGCACTGCAGCATCAGGAACAAACAGGGAAGATCCTGAACAAACCAGAACCTATGCTTGCCTTACTTTGGTATTACCTAGAGGCCCCGTATCCTGGTAGGAACAGAAAGACACTAAGACTGAGCAGAATGGAGGAGGGAAGGAGAGGTTGCCTGTGAGGAGACTGACCAGTGCAGAATGGGCATGACCATAGGCCCGAGCAGTACCAACAAGGCCCCGTGGATCATGACATCATTGGGTTCCTGAGCAATGGATGCAGTGAGAACCAGGAAAACTCCTTTCTCCCTGATTCCAAGTCAGAAGTCACAGGGGCCAGCCCCTGTCTTGCTCAGCCCTCAAGTGGCCCTTGGCAAGTGGGGTCATTGGCAGGAAAGAGGAACTACAGGCTGGAGTGGAGGGAGAGGAGCAGATGCTCTCCTATTCTCAATTCAGCCTACTCCAGGCTGTCCCTGGGCTGGGCAGGTCTGTCTGAGGGTCCACATGGTGAAAATCCACATGGTTCTTGATCCCGAGGAGCTCCAAGCCCTGGGCACAAAACACTGAAAGTGCCAAGCACAGGACACCCAATCAGGGCAGAGAAATCCAGTGTGACGGCAGGCTCTGGGAAGTAGCCAGGTTCTCCAAGACCCAGCTCCACCACCTGTGTGGCTTGGGGCAGGTTGATCACCGCTGTGTCTCTGTTTCCTCAGCTGTAGAACAGGGGCATCATCACGGTTGTGAGGGGCACAGAGAGATCCCGGGCACAAAGCTCTTTACCTCCTACCTGGCATGGAGCTGGTACTCCTTAGGTGTAGCTATTGTTATCAATAGCAATAGAACCGCTTAATGGTTGGGAGGTAGCGTAATGGAGAAAACATGCCAGGCAAGGGGAACATCTTGAGCTGTTGTAGCAGAGGCACTTCAGAATATAGCTGGTGAGTGAGATACTTGGAGCAGAGAGAGCTGTGGAGAGAGGAGCTGGGCCTCAATAGGCAGGCTGAGGCCAGATGGCTAGCTGATAGCCCTGGGCTTCTGCTTAGAGGTGGCCTTGGCTGGGTAAGCAGAGCTTTGACTTTAAAAGATTGCCCTGGGGACTGCATAGAATAAAGGAGAAAGGACCCTGGGGTGGAAGGATGACCAGAGTGAATGAGACCCAGGAGAGGGGAATCAGGTGATTGAGAGAGTAATGGGGACTCCGGAGAGCAGTGAGGTGCCACTCTACAGTTTGGAAGAAAGACATGGAGGTAGGTGGTTCCCATACTGAGGTGGACAAATGTTGAGCAAATGATGGGCTTCAGCGAGGTGGGTGTGGACGAAGAAAATGGAGAGGTGTCTGGGATTCAGACTGGGAGATGTTAGCAAGGGCCAACTTCTGGAGGAACTGGTATTCTTTAGCCCCAGCAGAGACTTTAATGGGGTCTTGGTAGCTGTCAGTTCTGGGCTGAGGATCCTCTCTGAGGTGTGAGCAGTCACTTCCCTGGAGCAGCTATTAGTTTCAATATAAAAAATAATAATTCCCCTACTGAAGCCATTGCCATTCGATGAATTGTCCCTGCAGGACAGGGATTCCAACTCACAGGGATGACTGAATGGGAACAATTGGGCAGTATGAGTTCTGGTTCCTGCCTAGTCTCTGTTCAAATCCCAGTTCCACCACTTCCTGGCTGTTGAACTTTGGCTAATATGTAAATTGACCAAATGGCAGAAAGACCAGTCACTATGACACGCACTGACTACCAGGGGGCAGACGCTCAATGCAGGAGCTGCCCCCTGGTGGTCAGTGCGCTCCCACAGGGGGAGCTCGGCTCAACCAGAAGCCAGGCTCCCAGCTGGTGAGTGCAGCAGTGGTGGTGGGAACCTCTCCTGCTCCGAGGTAGTGCTAGCAGGCCTAAGCCATCAGTCAGACGTTCCCTCAGGGCTCCCAGACAGCAAGAAGGCACCGGCCAGACTGAGGGACAGCCCCCCCAAAACCAGTGCATGAATTTCGTGCACCGGGCCTCTACTATGTTATATGGGACTGGGTCCTATTGAGTTAATGTACTATATGAGATCTGGCATGTCAAATGCCCTAGCCTGAGCCTTACCCAAAGTAACAAAGGACCATTTATGGAGGCTTATCCAGGGTCCGGTAGGCACTGGACTATAACATCCTCTTGATACATCTATGGACTTGTGGTTATCCTCACTTAAGAGATAAAGCAGTGGTCGGCAAACCCACATGCGACTCTTCGGCCCCTTGAGTGTGGCTCTTCCACAAAATACCATGTGCAGACGCCCACGTATGTTGCGATTGAAACTTCATGGCCCATGCGCAGAAGTTGGTTTTCGGCTCTCAAAAGAAATTTCAGTCATTGTACTATTGCTATTTGGCTCTGTTGACTGAGGTTTGCCCACCCCTGTGATAAAGAAAAAAAAAGCTGGGAACGGTTAAGGAAATTGCTTAATTAAAGACACTAATGATTAGCACCTTAGTTCTTTTTTAAAAAATATATTTTATTGATTTTTTTTTTTACAAAGAGAAAGAGAGTGATAGGAGAGTTAGAAACATCCATCAGCTGCCTCCTGCACACACACCACTGGGCATGTGCCCGCAACCAAGTTACATGCCCTTGACCGGAATGGAACCCGGGACCTTTCAGTCCGCAGGCTGAAGCTCTATCCACTGAACCAAACCGGTTAGGGCAGCACCTTCATTCTTGCAGGTGTGCGTGGCCTCCGGAAAGTGCTTTTCCTGGGTTCCGCCCGGGCCCACGCCTCTCCTCTCCCCGCAGGTACGTGTCGGCCCTGACCACGCCCGCGCGCCTCTCCCCGGTGGACTTCCACTACTCGCTGGCCACGCAGGTGCCGACGTTCGAGATCACGTCCCCCAACTCGGCGCACGCCGTGTCGCTCCCTCCCGCCGCGCCCTTCAGCTACCGCCTGGCGGAGCAGCAGCCGCTCCTGCGGCACCCCGCGCCCCCCGAGCCCGGGCCGGCCGCCGCCGCCGCCGCCGCCGACATGCAGCGCAGCTACGACAGCTACTACTACCCCGTGGCCGGGCCCGGGCCGCGGCGCGGCGCCTGCGGCCTGGGCGGCAGCCTGGGCAGCCTGCCCGCCAGCCCCTTCCGCATCCCCGAGGACGACGAGTACGAGACCACGCAGGAGTGCGCGCCCCCGCCGCCGCCGCCGCGCGCCCGCGGCGCGTCCCGCAGGACGTCGGCGGGGCCGCGGCGCTGGCGCCGTTCGCGCCTCAACGGGCTGGCGGCGCAGCGCGCACGCGCGGCGCGGGACTCGCTGTCGCTGAGCAGCGGCTCGGGGTGCGGCTCGGCCTCCGCCTCGGACGAGGACGCGGACGACGCGGACGGGGCGCTGGCGGCCGAGAGCACGCCCTTCCTCGGCCTGCGCGCGGCGCACGAGGCGCTGCGCTCGGACTCGCCGCCGCGGGGCGGGGCGGCGGACAGCAGGACTTACTACTCGCTGGAGAGCCACAGCACGCAGGCCAGCAGCAGCAGACACAGCCGCGGGCCCGCGCGGGCCAAGCAGGACTCGGCGCCCCTCTAGGGCCCGCCTCCCTCCTCCCCTGTCTTGAAAGAGAAGGGCGACCACCAAACTTGGAGAAAGGAGGAGAAAGAAAGAAAGAAAAAAAAAAAGAAATAAAAATATTTTTATTTTCTATAAAAGGAAAAAAGGTATAACAAAATGTTTTATTTTCATTTTAGCAAACATTGTCTTACAATACTAGCTAAACGGCAAAGACGTTTTTATAGGGAAACTATTTATATGTAACATCCTGATTTACAGCTTCGGGAAAAAAAAAAAAAAAGAAACAACAACAACAACAAAAAAGAGAGATGGGCCAATTTTTTGACTCTTTAATAGAAACCTATATTGTGGTGCCTTTTGCTGTACGCTAATCTGGAGCTCCTGGAGAAAAAGTCTGGGTTGTGGGGTGGGGGTGGGGGGATGCAGGATCCGGAGCTGGTGCCGGTGAGAGGAAGCAGGTAGAGAGAGGCTGCGAGGGTGGGGGGTGGGGGGTTGGGAGGGACCGAGTTGCGCAGCAGTGATGGGGGGGCCCTTTGCCCCCTTGCAAGATCTCGAGTCCTGCATCCCCTGGGAAAGGCCAGGGATCCTAGGCTTGGAGCTAGCGTTGGTGTCAGGTCACGTCTAGAGGGAGACTAAGGCCCAGCGACAGCAACCTGAATGGGGCGGGGGCCTCCCCACTCCTCAAAGCTGCTAAGGGAGGAGGCACTGAGAACCAGGTCTTCCCATCAGCCCCCGCCCCAGGGAGGGGGCAGCTCTGCCAGGGCCCCACCGTTGGAGGCTCCTCCTCCCCACGGCCTCCAGGACGCCCCGTGTCCTCTGCAGCACCTTCGTTTACAGGTCGTCTTTTCTATTTTACGCCTGCATGTTCTTTGCATTTCAGATTCTTTAGATTGGATGCATGGTCACGCTGGGACCTAGAAGAGCCACTCGACAGTGTATTTGAGCCCCCTTTTAGCAATAAAGTAACATCATTTCCTTCTCAGTCCAACGCCCAGCCTCCATCCCACCTACGACTTCTGCTCCCTCTCTAGCCCCGCCCTCCTCACCCCCCCCCCCCCGAAAACTGGGTCCACTGCTAATTTGTCCAAAAGGTAATTGTTTAAAAAAAAAAAATAATCCCAAACAAATGAGATCCCTGCCCTGAAATGTCCAAACACCTGACTGTTGACACTTGAACATTTTTATATTATAAATAAAAGCAGAAATAACTCATGTTTGACTGTGTGTGCCTAGCCCTCAGGTGAGGAGGGCAGACGGAGGATGAAGACTGGGGTGGAGATGGATGGATGATGGTGTGGAAGTTGGAGAGGGCCAGGGTCATCCATGGGAAAGGACACTCCCTCCCATCTCCCTGGCTCCTGTTCCCAGGGCAGGCCCCAGCACTCCTCCCTCTCCGAGAACTTTCACCAGGCATCCATCCCCCTGGCTGCTGGGGAACACGGCCAAGGGGCTGATGCAAATTCCTCCGCTTCAGGCTCAGCCTCAGAACCCTGGCCCAGTTCCGGCTCTGGAGCTACAGGGGCCCTACTGAGGCAACAGCTTCCGGGCCGAGGCGGGTGAGGAAGGAAGGATTGTGGGGTTGGCACGGGGGCAGCTGAGGTAAGGTGACCCTGGGGGCTACGGGCATGTCACAGGCAAAGTCTGGACATGCCAGGTGGATAATGGGTACCTAGGCTTGGTTTAGTGATGGCGATGAGGATCACCTGTGTCTAAGCTATCAGGAGGACCACAGCTGCTGCAGCTTGTAAGCCCACTGGGTGTTACCCTTTTCCCAACTCTAGACCCCTCAGAACGAGGGCTTGTCTAAACCCGAAATCCCCGATTAAGAGTACGTGACTTCAGGCGTGGAGAAGGCAGAGGAAGGTCCAGGGTTAAGAAGCCTTTGCCCTCGTTGATTCATTGATTACACCCGTGCCTAGCCCCAGGAACCATTCTGTTCCAGCCCAACATGAAGTCTTCCACTCAAATTGCTCAGGTGTTTGACTTGTGTGCACATGCGCGTGAGTGCCCTCAGGTTGTGTCTGGCCAGTTGGGAGACCTACAGATGAGAGGGACAGAGAGGTTTAGGGTCGAGAGGACTAGATATCAGCAGGGTCTGAGCTCAGATTCCACCTCCACCCTCACTACCTGTGTGATTTCTCTAGCCTGCCGTTTCCTCCACTTAAACGACGATGCTAATAACTCCTTCAAGGGGTTGCTGTGGAGCTTATCTATGTGAAGCACCCAATGTAGCTTCTGGCACAGGATACAGGCATACCTTGAAGATATGGCAGGTTCAGTTCCCGTAAAGCAAGTCTTGCAATAAAGTAAGTCATAATATTTTTTTGCTGTTGAAGGGTCTTGCCTTCAGTTTATAAAATACACAACATCTGTGAGGCACGATAAAGCAAAGTGCAATAAAATGAGGTATGCCTGTAGGTGCCTGTTGAGAGCTAATTTGATGATGGTGATGAGGATAACTTGTGTCTTGCATTCTTGACTCAAAGTAGCAAAAACTAGATGAAAGGAAGGTTAAGGAACTCAAGTCATTGTATTCATAGCGGGGGCACTGGAACAAAAAAACACATTACAAAGAAATAAATGAAAATAATGAACTAAATGCTATATAAACCTTCAAATCACTGGCCTAGCCTCAATCTGATATTGTCATTCGATCCCTCTGCTGGCTCTGAGTTTGCTGTTGGCTTTAAAATTCTCCAAAAGCCAGTGGTACCTCTGTGTGACCCCCCAAGTAATTAGGATTGAACTCTTGGTGAACCCATTGACCTCTCCATGACCCCAAGTAATTAGAATTGACCTCTTGGTGAACCCATTGACCTCTCCATGACCCAGTTTAGTGTCCTCATTTGACCCTTCTGAGAGAGTGTTGCTGTTACCTTCTAAACTTTTGGTCAGAAACCACCTCCATGACTCCGCTGACCTCTCTGTGACCCCAAGTAATTAGAAATGAACTCTTTGTGAACCCATTGACCTTTTCATGACCCCAAGTAATTAGAAATGAACTCTTCATGAACTCATTGACTTCTTCATGACCCAACTTAGTGTCCTCATTTGACCCTTCTGAGGGTCAAGTTGCTGTTACCGTCTAAACTTTTATCAGAAACAACCTCCATGACTCTGATCAACCCACCAACCTCTAAGTGACTCCAAACGATTCTGAATAACCGCCTGATAAACTTACGGGCCTTCACGTGACCCCATTCAGTGCCTTCATTATCTGCTCTGGACTCTAAGACCCCTGCTGAGAGTCTAAGGCTGGAACCTAATGTGTAGTCCTTGATTCTTTTCTCATCGTTGCGGCTACTCATTCATTTCACAGGTGTGAAAGGAACCTGGGAGCAGGCCTTTTCTCTATTCTGCCTCTCACATTTCTGCCTTGGGGCATTTTCAGTTGGCCTGTCAGGTGACTTCCCTACTACCACCCTGTCTCCAGGAGCACTTAGGACCTTTGTGGGCAGCTTCCTGAATCAGTCTTTTTCCTCACTCCTCCAATTCTTCCTTCTCTCTGCCAGGTCATTTTTGGCTTGTCTCCCCAGCCCTCCCAGAGTCCCAAATGGTGATGGTGACTGCCTGTCTCCCTCCCCTCTAGACTGTGAGCCCCACGTGGACAGGTAGCTGGTCAATCCTTTTCTCCCCAGCAACCACTACAATGTGCAATACTGTTGAGCTTCATTGAGTGAGAGGATGAATGCTAAAGAGACACTGTCTTCAAGAGGCAGCCCCCAGGAGTCCCTGAGCTGCAGCCACTTCCCAGGACCAGTAGGTGGCGCAACCACTTGCAGCATCTCACCAGCGTCCTCCAGCCCTTGGATTTGGACAGCCCTGGGAAATGGGCATTATTTTGTGGGGTGAACATAATGGTCCATTAGAATGCAGGAAAAAAAATATCAGAACTTTGATTTAGATTTATTTTCATCTCATCTTTTTTAAATTTCTATTTTTGTGTATGTTTTATAATGTACATAATATTTTAGTACAGTAGAACATGTATATAATTTACAATAAATAATTATACAATTAAGAAAGTGAGCTAAAAAATGTTTTTTACTGATCGGAGGCACAAGTGCTCAGGGAAGTACATTTGTCTGCAACAGACAGGGCTTGCTCCTCTGTTTTCACTCACCTGCCCTCAGAAGGTGGATAATGGGAGGCTGACCCCAAAAATCAAAAGACCTTTGAGACAGCACAGAGAAAGTACAGAGAGCTCTTTATGTTGCCACACTGCTCTTTCAATTTCACTTAAATGAGCATTTAAGTATCCTCAGCAAAAGGAGGGGTCAGATGGTTTGATTATAAGTACACGTCAGCTGATCCCAAATAAATCATCTGCTTTTCATCCTTGGTTATCAGGGTTCCCTCCAGCTAGTCCTCAGTTGACTTTTCAGGGTGGTTCTTCTGTATTTTAGTTGTATTTCCAGTTTGGTCCTGGGAGAGTGTCATTATCACTTCCACCTACTCCGCCACCATTTTTCACACAATCCAAGTGAAATAATCTGGATTTAAATCCATACATCTCTCCACAGATTCACCTATCTCTTGCATCAAATATGAGTGGACTTATACTTGTTGCAAGGTGCTTAGTTGCAAGGTTGACTTATTAAAACTAAATATGTTACCACTGAGATCAAACTGCTGGCCAAGCTACAGCAATCTATTTTAAAAATAGAAAGGATTTACTCATCATAGCTCCTTTGAAAGTGTCATCACCCCCACCATTTGTCAGTCTGAGGAACTCAGGGTTTAAAGAATGCTAGTCTGTTATTATCATGTGGCAAATTTCTTTCTTCCCCAAAATGTCCTTAGATAGCATTTCTGAAATGGTGAAAGAAATATCAACTTAAAAAAAAACAAACAAAAAAAAAAAATCAGCAACTTGTCATTCCACCTTTTCCCAAGACCAAGAATGAATGGTTTCCACAACCTTTCCCCCATCCAATCTCTTCCAGCTTGTTGACAAGTGGCTATTTGCAAGGCAGATTGTCTTTTATTCCTGTACCAGTAGGTCAGAACATGAGGCC